TGCCTCTCTACCATGTAGCTTAATACCCATTAAGCTATGTTATGGTTTAGTATAGAAAGTGAACGCTTTGCATATTTTACCGAAAATATACTTCGATAAATTTTCACTTATAGGCAATTAATTGGTAAAAGATATTATTAGGTATTTAGCATTTTTAAAAACAAAACGTAACGTTTAACGTCTACAAATTATTTAGTTGTACATCCGACTTTAAAAAAGGAGGAGATTTTTAATTCGGTTATAAGTATTTGTTTGTTACCCTATAACTACGTCATTTAGTAAGCAATTTGGAAGATTCCCTTTTTTTATCTGAACGGATATACTAATAACTTTCAATTTTATACATACATACATATCTGTCACGCCTGTCTCCCATTAGGGTAGGCAGAAACAATGGAACGCCAAATGCTTCGATTCAAACAAACCTCTTTCGCTTCTTCCACATTTATCAATCTTTTCATACACGCTCGCAGGTTACGGGTACTTTTAATTTGGCCCTCCTTCAGCACGTCGCCTATTTGGTCGACGTACGTCCGATATACATATAATATACAATAGACATTTTTATCAAAATCGGTTTTTAAAAATTGGTTTTTAAATCAAAATAACTACTTTTAGCTCGACTGATCGATTGAAGGCAGTATTTTTTTTTTTTATTTCACAAAATCTATTATTCAAATAATAAGAGTGACACTACTAGTCGATATTAATTTTGTTACGGTACTGGTCGCTGTTTTTAAAGAGAAAAAACTACTGTTTTTACATTGATTAGAGACGCTTTTAGTTGTAATTTAAAGTCTCGTACCTACAGCAATGTGATTTTAAGTTTTTTTTTTTATATGAATGTATGTATATAACATACAATGCAGTCGCAGGGGCAAACGCTCAGGTTGTGGAATGAGCTTCCTAGTGATGTTTTACCTGGAACCTACAGAATGGGGGCCTTTAGAAAAAGCATATTATTCTGTTTTTGTGATCGACAGCACGTACGTGACATTTCTGATATTGCAGGCGTCCATAAGGCACAGTGATCGTTTACCATCCGAAAGACTGTATCCTTGTTTTCTATCTTTATAATATAAAAAAAAAAAAAACTAATAATAATCGTCAAGTCAGCCGTGCACATGCACAGTTAGTGCACTGCATTAGTGCATATAGTTCTCTCCCAGAAAGGAGGGTTTTTACCAGTAGATGCCACGCTTGGTAAGCGGGTTGACAATTACAGTTAGCCTTTGGTGAAGTTTTGAGAGACCTTCGACCATTAAGTTCCTTTAGTCACCTGTGACGATACCCACGTGAAAGATAGGGGTTGGCCCATGCTGGGACAATACGGTATCTTGTAATGTAATTGTTTGTATATAAAACAACTTTACTACTGTACATCCTGGTGTACCAGGATACCATACTGTGTATCCAGGGGGGAAGGGATTGATAGTAATGGGGAGGTTAGCCCCCATTGCTATCAGGTCGACCTCCACGCGGTTCCCCCTGGAAACTATCTGACTAATTTATCGTTGAATTCATCACGATAGGCTAACTGATCTGCCTTTTCATCCTCACCTATCACCTCTCACTGGCCCCGTCAGTGTATACCGATAACGCACGCGGGGTTACCATACCATTTTCATCCACTAAAGTACCTACCTATTCATCTATATATAACCAGACAATCCAATAAAATGAATCTGTCTGTATGAGTAGATTAGAGAGGCTCTCATCCAGAATGAGAAACCGATTTGTCCCGCCTGTTTGCTACGTACCATCAGTCACGCTTTCATATTTCGTCGCGCCCTTTCTTATAGTTTTTATTTGACTATTTGTGGAACTATATTTCTTAGTAAATCTATACTATGCAATGGGCTGGTCACATAGCTCGAAGAACTAACAACCGATGGGGAAAAGTTCTTGAGTGGCAACCACGTACGGGTAAACGCAGTGTAGGACGACCCCCCCACTAGATGGAGTGACGACCTGAAATGCGTTGCAGGCAGTCAGTGGATGCAGGTGGCTCAGGACCGTTCTTTAGTGCAATCTACGGGGGAGGCTTGTGTCCAGCAGTGGACGGATGACGGCTGAAATGATGGTGATGAAATCTATACTGTACAGATATATATCTTGTCACTTTCTTTGTTATCCAATACCTGTATTACCTAAATGTGAATAAACAATTAGCTTATAGAAACAAGCAAACTATTGTAACTTACTAGAAAATACAGATAATATTTCTGCTTCCTTATTAGCTATTCTTTCCGCAATAATATTTATGCATAATGCAAATCTAATACATGCACGTTGCATTATTTACACGTCTTATAATCGCTTACTGATACATCATATTTATTTAAAACTAACCCTATTCCGCGGCTTCACCAGCTTCAATCAATACATAAAATCAATTCATCAGTGTGATGAATGATGAAGATGAAAAGACAGGTCAGTTAGCCCATCGTGACGAATTCAACTATAAATTAGTCACTATGGTTTCCAGGGGGAACCGCGTGGAGGTCGACCTGATAGGGTGTATTGTATCGACCACCACACGGCTCCCCCTGAAAACCGTCATGGTTAATTATTGTCAAATTTGTCATGATGGGCTATGTGACCAGTTTTCATCGTCACCTATCATCACTCACTGATGCCCCACCAGTGTATACCGATAGCGCGGGCGGGGTTGCCATTCAATTATCACTTATAAAAAAAACAGTAAATAATTTATATATATGTATATACATACGTTCCCGCGCAAATGGTAAACACTAGCCGTCTTATTTATTCTTGTTGTTTTAATAACTCGCATCTCTTTTGTAATATTTGAGAATGTAATGAAATGAAAATTAAATTAATAAATGTCTGTGTCACGCTGCTTTATGGGCTTGTAATGTATTTAATTTTAAAAAATCATCAATTAAAATACATTAAAATTAATAGCCTAAAACTAATAGATAATTTAACGTAATTACTGTATTTAAATATATCATATAAGTCGCTTATTTATAAACATAAATGATTATATAACCTTTTTTTTTTTAACGTCTGGAAAATGCTTTATGCAGACCCATACACCTTGTAATAGGTACTGTGGGAATCCCCCCGTAAGGTGGGTATACCCACCAAAAACCAGACGATATACTCTCGAGGTGCCATATGTCGGAGACATGAGTTCGCTTTCGCACTCACCACATCTCCGACGGCAGCGACCCGCCCCCGATGGTAAGAGCAGGTCTCCTCTCTCAAGATGGTCTCAAGGGTGGATGGCGTGCTCACCCTACCACTCGAGGGATGCGCCGGTATTTTAGCACATCCCCCAGGAAAAGTGATTATATAACCTGCGACTGAATGTATTGTGTATAATAAACTTCGAATAACCAATACTCGATAATCGAGAAGTTTCACGTCTCCGCAGTCGATTTTACAAATCGAAACGTGGTAAAGACAAGAGGCACTTATACAGAGAAGTGTCACGATGAAAAGGCTGGTGCCGTGATGCACCTGACGCTGCAGGCAAGCTGCAGGTCACTAGCGCAAGTGCGGGGCCTGCGATTCGATTCGCGTTACGCCACTCGCCACCTGTGAGCTCTTGCTAGATTGGTCACGCGATAGGCTAACCTTTACCGATTCGTTAGTCATTTATTTTATTTTGTACTTGTAAATTACATAAATACTTAACCCTTCTTTGCATAAAGGTGGAAATTTCCATCATAATATTGAATGCTTAAAATTATATGAAAGACCAAGTTCACTTTAAGTTGATCGTGGCTGGATACCTTTTTAATGTCCATTGCAAAAAATAAAACATAGCTGTCAATTTTTTTTAACCATTTTTCCTTTAATTTTGAACATGAATTATATCACCTTGATTTATTTTACCAATAAAACAAATCATGCAAAGAAAGGTTAAATATAATACCTGCCTATTTATCTTATTTCAAGGAATAAGTTTTCTTATAAACATACATAGATAAATATAAATTTATTTTAGATTTATGAATACATTATATATTTTTATTTAATGCATCTCAGTATTATAGCATGTCAAATCCTGGATCTCTAGATAAGTAGCGAGCGAATCCATTTATGGAATCGTTGTGGCTAGCGAATCCATGACATAGAATGATATAGCAACGATCAATGTCTTGCTATTCATCTAGTAGACCGGATGTGCAACTGTGACAGTTTTATGTGTGTTATATACTCGTATATGTGTGGGTATGTATACGCATGAGTATATTATATATTTAATGGGTGATAATGGTAGCAATGCCTTTTGTACTAACCGTATTGAAAATTGTTTTAACCGCCTACGTAAATTTTTTTAACCATCTTTAATTTTGAACATGAATTATATCACCTTGCTGGCGGAGCACCAGTGAAGAATGATAGATGAGGATGAAGCAGGTCAGTTAGCCCATCGTGACGAATTCAACAAGAATTGTTCACGATGGTTTCCAGGGGGACCCACGTGGAGGTCGACCTAATAGGGCATATTGCTAGTAATGGGGCTGTCAAACTCCATTGCTATCCCTTTCCCCCCAACATGAGTATACTAGGTACGGTTTACCCGAAACCAGGCAACTATAGATATCTTACAACACGGAATATCGTAATGCATAGGATCTATAAAATGGTAGAGTAAAAGTAAAGAAAATCACAAAAAAAACCAGCGGGTCGACGTTGGAACAGTCTATACTCTGACCCCAGAAGACAAATAAAAAATAATAACTAAAACTTTAATAAATATAACATAATAAGTACTGAAGGACTTCCCAGTATTTATCCCGGGGGTAAGCGGTTACTCGGATTAATTTTAACGAGGTTTTTTTTTTCTTAACGAGGTTTTCATCATCAGAAAGTCAATGTAAAATTTAAATTAGGAACATGTTATTTGAATGAATTTTTATTGTCAACTAAATTCAAATTCGACGGTACGACGTTTAAGATATTAAACGTCGTGTGGTGTACTACTAATTCACACCGCTCTTAATTTGTTTTTTCTCCACCAGGCCATCGAGCGGCTGCCGGCCATCGGAGGAGGCCGCGTGGTGCGGCGCGGTGTCTGGAGCGCGAGCACTGCGCGTGCGCGTGTCGAGCGCGGGCGCTGTACCCGCGCCGGCGCACGCACGCCGCCTGTCGCCGCCGCCGCACGCGCACCGGGCCACCACGCCGCCGCGACCCGCCTCGCCCACCAATAAACGTATGTCGTATAATGCGATTTCTCATAATATCCCATGTAATATAATCTCATTACGACTTGAAACCTACAACTTTATTATGTAACTCTTTTGCTGACAATTCTCGTTTGAAACAAATTGAAACTGACGGTATTACGACTATGATTACCACTTGACAATTTTAGTTACAAGTCCAATTAAAGATACAGTATGTTGGTAACATAGCCCTCAGGGAAATAATTTAGACCGTGATTTACGTCAATATGTGGTGGCCATGATTACCATTTTCATCCAAGCAGGGCATTAAATTGTTTGCGTTTTGTATATAACATGGATGTTCTAAGAATTTCATTTCGACTATCTGGAAGTGGCAGACCTCCACTTGCATTTCTAAGCACATACGACCACAATATGAAACTAGTTCTCTGCAGCATTACATATATCCACACATATATATCCAACCTAAAAGTCTCGCTACATCAGAATAATTCGGGAGTAAATTGCAGACAGTTGCTCTAAATTTACAGTTGCTGTTTGAACAGTCTAGCAGTGTCGAGTTCAAACAGCAAAAGTTGCACTTTAAACCCAAAATTATAAAATATGATAACGATAACATTGCGTTTTTACAGCTCAGCACGAGGAGCCTCCAGTATCAATATCGGAAACCCCTAGCACCGCACAGCTAAAGGCTGTGAGTGCTGTGTCGCAGCTGACAGTGGCTAGCGCTCCGGTCCGCAGTGCGCCTGCGCAAAGTAGCTATGCGTTGGAACGGCGACCGAAACATGACCACCACCACCGTTCATTGGAAAGTGTGCCAGTTGTACAGGTAATTAGTACTTTAGTCAATACTATAGCTCTTCCATATTTCGCTGCAAAGACGATCCTAAGCTTCCTGCATCTATCAACTAACTGTAACATTTATAAGATAATTAGTCCGTTTCGTAAGGGGATTTTCAAATTACACTGGTTTATATAAGATCACTACTCAAGAATCCTGCATCTAAAACTTACGAGTATATTCTGTAGTAGATGGATTTTTATAATTATTATTTTAGCCGTTAACTGCCCACTGCTGGACATATGCCTTCCCCATAAGGGGAGATTTGCCAGTAGTTGCCACGCTTGGCAGGCATGTTGACAACTACACTTAGGTTTTTAGAAATGTTTTAAGAGGGACGCTGCTGTCCATCCCTCGCCCTCCCTTAGTCGCCTGTTACGACACCCACGGGAAAGAAAGGGGTGGCCCATTCTATGCCGGAGCACACACGGCTAAGTAGATGGATGGGAATGATAAGTACGAGCACTTTGGCTATATCATTCGAAATAAAAACTCTTTGGAACATCTAATTGTCCAAGGGTCGGTACAAAGCGAGGTAGATCAAAACACGATGGAGTGACCTCATCAAAACTGCCGCACAGCAATATTTTGTGGAATGCTCTCGCTCGGCTGTGAGTAGAAATAGATGGAGGCAGATTGCGAAGGCCTCAGTTGCGAAGAAGGACCTCATTGACGATCCACTATAATCATGAAAACCACAACCACTCTGTCAAAAGTATACGTCTTTTGATAGAGTAGTTGTAAAAAGAAATGGAATGGTTAAATGTAAATGATTTTTTAAACGTTTGGCAAGAGCATTAGTCACAAGTTGACAAATAGAGAAGATACTGACCCCGTTCATAACCATATTCGAAATAGCTTTGATTTACCAGATGTATCAGATTTGATTTACCAGAGGGAGACTTTGTACTAAAGTCGATTGCTTGGCTACCTCTGTCTCATTCGTGTTTCAACCGTGAAGCAGTTGTGTTTGCATGGCTGTGTTTCGGTTTAAAGGGTGGGATATGGCGTGAATTTACTGGGTACAGAGGAATAACACCTGAATCCTCAGGAATGGCAACACATGGGGGTATCACGGGCGAAACAGTATACTCTGTTATGTCCATGGTGCTGCTCATGTCTAAAGGCGACGATTACCACTTTCCATCAGATGGGCCGTCAGCTTGTTTGCCATTCTAAGTTGTAAAAAAAAAAACTTCAAGTAGGTATAAGAATAATGGAAAAAGTTTTTTAAATTTAAATAATAAATTTATCGTTTGGTAACTGAAGTACTATAAGAATACAATTAAAAACAGGAATTGTGACACATTGTAAACCAAACATAAGTCTTTTAATGGACTTTTAATTTTTCAATGGGTAACGATGGAGTGGTAACCCCGCCTAAGATATCGGTATACGGTGACGGGGCACCAGTGACAGACGATAGGCGAGAATGAAAATAGAAGGCTCTCTTAACAAACTCGTCAACTCGACCCCATCACAAACAATTGCTTCCCCCTAACTAAACACAGGTTCACCAATTAATGAAAAGTTAAACTCGAAATACAACCTTGTAACTATTTATTTTTTATTCTTACGCCTATACCAAACGGACTGTAATAAATCTCAGATGAATTACTATTCTGAACAGTCGCGGGCCGGTTTACACAAGTTGATTATTTATTGTGACAACACCAAACTGTTGGCTATTGCATCATTCTAGACAGCTACTATAATTTCAAAGTTCCCAGGGTCATTAACCACAAACTCTTCGTGGCTTTTGTGGTTTTATCTGGTTTGTTTACACTTTTTACACGTATCGGATCATGCATGATCTAACGATAAGTGTTGTGGTGAACTATTACTGTGTTTTTGTTTTTTATACATGATAATTGAATGGAAACCCCGCCTCCGCTATCGGTATACACTAGCGGGGCACCAATGAATGGTGATAGGTGAGGATGAAAACAAGTCAGTTAGTCCATCGTGACGAATACGCTAGGAATTACAATGGTTTCTAGGGGAAAGCGCATGGAGGTCGACCGTACATTCTATCCTTATATTAACTGACCGATCATTATATTAGCCGCTATCTGTCGACTCTGCTGAACATTGACCTTCCTATAGACTGCCATAAGAAACAGTCCTAAGCAACTTGCACCGACTGTTTAGAACAATGGAATTTAACTGTCTCAAGACTTTAGCTTAAATAACTAAATATATATTATTGTAGGATTTCATTCTAACAATAAAAAAGTCATATCAAATCTTTTCATACATTTTCTGCTAATTTAAAGACCATTGTTTGATCTTACCAAAGGGAGGCTTTGTACAAAAGTCGTTTGCTTGAGCATTCCATTCGTGTTTTTACTGTGAAGCAGTTGTCTTTACATGGCTGTGTTTTAGTTTAAAAGGGTGGGATATGGCGGCGAATTTACAAGGTACAGAGGAATAACACCTGAGTCCTCAGGAATGGCAACGCATGGGGGGTATCATGGGCGAAACGGTATACTCTGTTATGTCCATGGTACTGCTCATGTCTATAGGCGACGGTTACCACTTTCCATCAGGTGGGCCATTAGCTTATTTGCCATTCTAAGTTGCATAAAAAAAACTTGTGTAAAACATGCACCCTGTAATATCTAAACCGAAAGGGCTGCCGTGGGGAGAAATTAAGTTAAGTATTTATTTTAAAAAATATGGTAATCAAGCATACGGATACTACAATACAGTATAGAGTATATATGTGATAGTAAAAAGTTACCATTGTCTATGGGCATCTCCAATATCTGGAACCTTCACTTTTTTATAGAACTTCCTACTGTAGTCTCTAGAGAAAATTGCAGCATGAGGAAATCTTATCAGACATATGTCTAATGACGTGGATAGATCTTTGTATCTTGTTTGAGCCAGAACGATGTTAACGGGTCACTGCGCCGGCATCGATCCACTCATAATTTGGTGATTGCGCGGGCGCACGCCATTCGGACATCAGTGTTACGGGATCCAAGCGGTGAATAGATAATTATGATCGAGCGTTCAGCTGTTATTATCGATCAATTTCGTTTTGAAATAGGTTTCTGGCAGATTTAGGTTGCGTGCTAGTCTAATTTAACATGTAAATGTTGTGTAAATTTTAACTTGTAGTTCTTTAACGGTATCAGTTTAAGTTTAAGAAATGTATTACTAGCAGCTTAATTCGTCTAAGAGAGAACATAATAAACATATAGATTTTTTTATACTGAGATGGCAAACAAGCATACGGCCTACCTGATGGTAAGCGGTTACCGTTGCCTATGAACGCCTGCAATACCAGAGGTATTACGCGCGCATTGCCGACCCTGAAGAAATCTCTTTACCCCCCTTTTGAAGAACTTCATGCTGTAGTCTCTTGGGAAAACCTCGGCAGGGAGCTCATTCCATAACCTGAGTGTTCGTGGGAGAAAACATTACATTAGACAGATTTATTTTTAGGTCTACAATTTAAACAAATAAGGTACTTTTTTGTAATGGATGGTAATGAAATGGTAAGCCCGTCTGCGCTAACGGTATACGCTGGGAGTGAGGATGTGAGGGATAATAGGTGCATAATAAAAAAGTAGCTCAGTTAGCCCATCGTGATGAATACATTTGGAATTTAACACGACGGTTTCTCGATAGAACCGCGTGGAGGTCGACCTGGCAGGGTATATATTGCTAGCAATGAAACTGGTATTCCGCATTTCTAACATACCCTTCTCCCCAAAAAAGTACAATTAAAACCTATTATGCCTATAAGACACTTATTGCTATACGCAAGCAGAGTACTAATGAATAATGAGAGGTGAAGACGAAGTCAGGTCAGTTAACCCATCGTGGCGAATTCTTTAGGAATTAACGACGATGTTTCTAGAAGGAACCACGTAGAGGTCAACCGGGCAGTGTAAATTGTTAGCAGTGAGATCATTACAACTAATCCCCTCCCCTCTATACCTACTTAGCTGTATGAATAGAAAAATGTTTTTTTTATTAGTTTTATAAGAATATATTCGATACTTGACCGCACAAAATTACTCTAGTTTGTTACAGTCATACAAACAAACATTTTATACCATAAATTATGGATTGTTATGTACCGACGTAATCACAGACAATTTTATATCCATCTCATTAATTAACCGTCATCGTCGTACCAATTATTACAATAATTACTCGCTCCGTAACGGCGAAAGTGTTGCCACTAAAAAATAAACAAGCATTGTCTCTGGATCCCACGATCTCGTGATAGGGAAAAGCGTAATCGGTGGGAAGTTCGAAAATTGTTTAAAAGCGAAAGTCTGCTACAGTAATCTCATTGCAACGATGACAATAATTTTGTAAGAATTCGTTCCTAGTCTTTTAACGAGTCATTTACATTGAACTTAATCTTTAAGACGCTATACAGGCTAAGAAATGAAACGCAGCGATTTAAAACAAGGCTTAAAAGACCGTTTATGATTAGAATCAAAATATACGATAGATGTTCTGTCAAATTTTAATTAAGATTTTGCATTAGCTCAAGGAGTTTTATTTTTTTGATGGGTGAAAATGGTATGGTAACCCCGCCTGCGTCAACGGGATACGCTAACGGAGCACCAGTGAAGGGTGATAGATAACAATGAATGAACAGGCTAGTTAGCCCATCATGATGAATTCATCAGCAATTAACCATGATAGTTAACAGGGAGAACCGCAACGGAGGTGGCCAGAGCCTTCTTCTTCTGTGAGGCCGTGGTGCGACCGTGCGTGCCGTGCCGTGCTTCGGTTCCTTCTTCCTTGCTGTCTCCCTGTCGTTCCTGTGGCTTCGGTGGTTGTCGTATCGCCGGACGTGTTCGTAGTCGATGTGGTTGCTAACAATGGGATTCTTAGTCTCCATTACTAACAATCCCTTTCCCCTAGCTCAAGGAGTTTACCCATTTACTAATTTACATTCATAATATAGTAAGTGTCATGAAAGACGATTAAGGGAAATTAATGGTCGAAGGATAAGCAGCATCCCTCTTAAAACATCACCGAAGTCTAACAGCGGTTGAGAAAAGCTTGGCAACTACTAGGAATATCACCCTTATAGGGGAAGCCTATGTTTAACAGTAGAGAGTTAGCAGCCGATATAATATAGTATGGTAATTCATAATCATAGATTAAACATAGCACCGGCGGTCCTAATTTTGAATACAAACATTTGATAAGATTTCTACAATCTCTAGATTTTCACAAACTTTGTTGTTTTGAACTATGTCGTATTATTTTGCACCTATAAAAAAAATCAATCGTGAAATTATAACAAACATCCATACATGCTCACAAATATAACAGTAGTAGGATTCTCAGCAGTTTTTATATATCTTAAGAAGGTACTGTTGTTGTTTGCAGAACGGTCGAGAATGCAACAGCAGTTCTGATGAGAATCGGTCGTCAGGACACGCGTCGATGTCCGACAGTGGAGGTGCTGAAGCAGGCCGTGAGGAACCGAGGAGGAATCGGCAGCCCCCACACACCAGGACAAAGCATCGACCGCATAGCAAGGTACAGTCGTTATTATTACTAAAGAGGAAATTAGCTTTAGTAAGTAGATACTAGGTAGGATTATTTTTCAAAACTGAATTAAAAGTACAGTTCGTCTTTATGCCTGTTGTAAACTACAATTTGTAGCCCATAAATGCTTTCAACACCGGAGACCCAGGACTGAGCATCGAAATGAAAAAAACATTCACTATCACACCTTATCCTTCAAACCGAAACACATTTTTCTCGAAAGCTACTTGGTGGCAAACATAGGTGTCACAAGTAACCATGCAGTTACCTTCGTATATCTCTCTGGTTATTAGTAAATACTATTTAAAATTAACTCTAATTACATCAAAATATTGCATTAAAACTCTGATGAATTAAAAATTAGATGAAAGAAATCTCATATACCAAACTCTTTGCTTTAATTAAATTTAAATTACCTTCCGTTAGCTACAGTCGCCGTGGCCGGGAGGTGGAGGTCTTGAAGACATTAGATCAGCTATCAAGCAGCTGACGCTGAGGTCGCGAGACAGCAGCAGCACAGCTACAAGTGGCGCTTCCAGTGCTGGCGGTGGCAGTAACAATGGAGCACAAGGTAAATCATTGATTCCCGGTCGTCGAGATCTTGTACAGACAAAGTCGAAAAGACCAAGGAAGTAACAATATTTTCAAGGGTTGTCTTTAGCATGATAGGTCGATTTCTCATTGGAAAATTTTGTTACTAGTTCAAACGCTGAGTGAATGTTCAAAATATAATTATAACAACCAAAACTATCTCTTTTATGTACCTAGTTGTTTATTACTTCTGCATGTAAAATATAGAGTTTAAATAAGGTACTTATTCTACGATGACCATTTAGTATGTGGCCATTCGGCTGCGTTTTTAAACCTTTTTATAAAAGAAATCTTTGTCATCATCTTTATTATATTCAAATAAATGTGGAATATAATGTAAATAACACTTTTTTCTCTAAACGTTAATTTTTTTTTATGCAACTTAGAATGCCAAACAAGCTCACGGCCCACCTGATGGAAAGCGGTAATCGTCGCCTATAGACATGAGCAGTACTATGGACATAACAGAGTATACTGTTTCGCCCATGATACCCCCCATGCGTTGCCATTACTAAGGACTCGGATGTTATTCCTCTGTACCCTATAAATTACCTGCCATATCCCACCCTTCAAATAGAAACACAGCTATGCAAACTGCTTCAAGGTAGAAACACGATTGGGACAGAGGTATCCAAGCAAACGACTTTTGTACAAAGTCTCCCTCTGATATAATGTTATTGAGAATGGTGTTATTTTAGAGAGCGGCAGCGCGGCAGAGGCTCGCCGGCGGCGAGCGCCGCTGGTCAGGCAGCCGTCACTCGACACCGTGTGTACCAATGTAACCAGCGCCGACGAATTTGTGTGGGTGGACTCACATAACAGGTTTGTAAATTTATCACCATGTCAAATCTATTAAGTGTTTGTAATTAAGACCACAAAATTCATAATAACATTATGTCATCTAGATTAGTGGAATTGCGCCGTGTACCATGGACAGCAAGCGAAGTGAACCGCGCGCTGCAAGCAGGACGCTGCCGAGAGATTGCCCACCGAATGGCTCCAGATACGCCGCCACGGCTGGCATATCTACTACAGAGGTATCTCTTGAATACTGACTGTAAGCTGTTTTCAGCCACTATAGATATTGCTGGTTGCTTTAATTTTACAGTAAAAGCTTTTTTGTCTATTAAAATCAAGAAAAAAAATAAAAATCACAACTGTTTTATCTCTTTCACTGTTTTCCCATTTACCAGGGCATTGGTGCGAATAGCCCGTGAGGCCCAGCGGTTGTCACAGAATTTCGGCTTTTGCTCAAAGCACGAAGTTGGTGGTGCCTTCAGAATCGTCCTCAGCACACCACTGGCTGACTCTTGTATAAAGGTATAGTTACCATTATTATTTGTTTTACTAAATATATTTTTGCTTGCTTTATAAATATGTATACTGAATCCAAACTTAAACTATGTTCCAAGCCAAAGAAATACCTATAAATGTTAAAATACGTATGGTGAGGGTAAGCCAAGATATTTAATAATTTATTAAAATCTAATTATAATCTTTTAGACCCTGGTTCCTGTTCCTGGACTTAAATTTTTAATAGAACTTCAAATAGCAAACAAGCTGTTGACTTCCTTTATAAAAAGTAATAGCCTTCGCATATACACATCATAATATTATCAAACAAAATTTAAAAAATTACTCATGTGTACATGCAATACATTCAACTTATAAAGTCTTTCTCTATAAATCCCATTAAGAAGGAATTTTAAACCTAGACCGTTTATCACTTTTTTAAATACTTTCTAAACTAGGGTTGCCAACGGGCAGCGACTATGTATGCAACTTCGGGCAGCGCGGCAAGACGGCTCGGCTCAGCTGCCAGAGCGCGAACGAGCCTCGCTCCAGGTCGTTTCCACAGATGGATGCTGGATGTTCGTGTTGCTTCGTTTATTCACGAGTGAGTATTTATGAGTAATTTATCATTGAAGGCATAGAAATTTCACAAGTATTTCACCAGAAGGAGACTTTGAACAAAAGTCGTTTCCTTGAGCACCTCTGTCCCATTCGTGATTCAACCGTAAAGCAGTTGTGTTTGCATAGCTGTGTTTCAGTTTGAATGGTAAGATATGGCAGTAAATTTACAGAGTACAGAGGAATAACACCTGAGTTCTTAGGAATGGCAACGCATGGGGGGTATCATGGGCGAAACAAAATACTCTGTTATGGCCATGGTGCTGCTCATGTCTATAGGCGACGGTTACTATTTTCCATCAGGTGGGCCGTCAGCTTCCTTGCCATTCTAAATAAAATTACAAGTATTGTATATAAACCTTCTTCATCTAAATATAAGTAATTAAACAGTTGCTTTGGTAATCCGTTGTATCAAAAAGAACAGGACTACTCCAGCGGCATTTTTGATGAACTTAAATATCTTATAATCAAGAAGTAATTGGAAACTTGGAGCCACCAATTTAAAACAATTTCTATTGATTCTTCCTTAGGACAATTGCATTCAATAAATGAGTCTTACTCTATTTTCAGTTGAGAAATATATTAAGAAGTGATCTCTTCTAAATTAGTTCGAGTAACAATTTTTAGTAGATGTTTAATTTTTCATAGCAGGATATAACAGTTCGACGATCGAAACCCGTGGTTAGTATGTTAGCGTAGCAGTTATTACCTCTTGTTATGTCGGTAGGTACGCGGCTATATACCTGTGTGCCGGCATAGAGACATTGCTAGAGGAGATAGCGCTGATCGCTGGAGGTGGTGCGACCAACGGCCCAATAACACCGGCTGTCGTGGATCACGCCGTTGCTAACTGCGCCGATCTTTGGGGACTGCTGCAGCCTTATAGCCATCTCAATGCCGGCAGGATAGCATCAGGTAAAGAGCAAATATTATCCATTTATAAGTTGGGGATGAAATCCCTTATCCTTACTTATTCTCACTAATAAGTAAGAAATATAGTAAATTACAAATCAATAATTACAATTATTTTATATTAGAAAAGGAATCAGATCTACATGCTTTACAGGGGCACTGTCACTTTCTCGCTGGGAATCGATGAGTTCTCTTGGCTCCGGTTCATCATCAGGAGTTCCTAGACCGGAACACAGGCAACTTGGACTCAGCCAAGACTCAGGGATCACCACGAATGGTTCTGGTAAATGGTTTTAAACGCTTTCTCTTTTAAGTTCTCCTTAAACCTATTTTTTTTTATTTATATCTTTAAAAAGTATTTTCGACCCATGCTCTTTCAAGCCCAAATCAGTGGTTACGTCAAAAATTGAGTCCACTGTTTCCCGAGGAAAATGTTTATTATGAAATATGTTACGTGACGGGAAACCCCATCACATCGGGGAGATAGGGATTGTTAGTAATATAGTCTAATAGCTCCATTGCTAACAGTATACTCTTTCAGGTTAACCTCCACGCGGTTCCCCCTGGAAACCGTCATGGTTAATTCGATTAATGGGTAATTTGTCGAATTCGTCATAGTAGGCTAACTGACCTGCGTTCATTCTCACCTATCATCTTCCACTGGTGCCTCGACAGTGTATACAGGATTATCATTCCATTTTCACCCGTTAAAAAAAACCCACCACATCTCACCTAATCTCGCCAAAAGTGATTCTGATTGTTGAAAAAGTATCTCGTAAAATGATTAGCCGTTCTCCAATTGCAGGCGGGTCAGGCACGTCGGCGGGGTCGAACACGAGCTCGGGCGGGTCGGGGGGGACGGCGGGGTCGGGCGGGTCGGCGGGCAGCGCGTCGGTGCTGCTGACGACGTGCGCGGGCTCGGCGGCCGAGCTGCGCGCCGTGCTGCGCCGCGTGCAGCCGCGCCTGCCGCCGCTCGCGCCCGCCGCCGAGCGCGCGCTCTACTACTTCATGCGGTGCTCGCAGGTCTGTCGTCTGCTGGTGTCCACGATACCTTCGCTACTGCTAATCACTTGCGCCACACTACGTGATGACAAAAACACTACCGTCACATACATACATATCTGTCACGCCTGTCTCCCATTAGGGTAGGCAGAAACAATGCAACGCCAAATGCTTCGATTCAAACAAGCCTCTTTCGCTTCTTCGACGTTCATCAATCTTTTCATACACGCTCGTCGGTTACGGGTACTTTTAATTTGGCCCTTCATAGTCATAATACAGGTATATTACATAATATATATTTCTCTTCGCTAACGGTTATAAAAACGCTGTTAGCGATCAAGTAGCTGACAGAGAAAACCAAAATAGTGATTTCTCCTGAAAACTATCGTGATTCATTTCTGGTGAGTCCGTCACGATTGAGCTAACTTCATTCTCACCTATTATCACCCACTTGTACCTTTGCCGGTATATTGCCAATAGCGCAGGCAGAGTTATTATTGTTTTAATTTTATATAAAAAAAGATAAAAACAAAAATTACTATCTTTCTCTTCTTTCCAATATAAACAAGCTTCTATCAAACTAAAAGTGCTTTACATTTGACTTCAGTTGGAGCACAACAGCAGCGCTTCAGGTGGCAGTTGCGGGGCATCTGGCCTGTGGGGTGAACGCGGAGCCGGCGCCTTACCTCCCCTGGCCGAGTGGCTGCGGGTGCTACGAGCACACGCCAGTCTGCGCCCGCCGCCGGCTCTGCCTGACGCTGACGATGTACTCCAAGCTGCGAGATTACTACTCCCACATGCTGACTGTCCACCGCGGCCTATCACGTGAGCATGGCTTTAAAAAAAATTTTATATATAAAAGATTTTGAATTATTAAAAAATCGATACCATATATCTCTCAAGTAGTAAAATACGTCATTTTAAATTTAAACAACTTGGTTAGGGTCTCTAAGTTTTTACAGTACATTGGACAACTAAAAGGAATAACCAATTAAATAAAATAATAGCATTTTCTCCAACAATTCTGCTGTAGGTTAGAAGAACCTATAGAACCAGTGTGGTCTCGCTGCGCTCGGAGTACCGACGAGCTGAGCCGTGCTGCTCTGGGCTTGGCTCAGCGCGCGTTACTCAGCGGACGGGCAGAGCTAGTGGGAGGCGTGCGGCCACTGTTACCATCCGGCGGTATCGACGCAACCGACGCTGCAGGACTTACGGCTCTGATGAAGGCTGCGCTCGCCGGTGATGACCAGATCGTTGCTGTGAGTCAAGTGTTTATTTTCCTACTTGTCACTATTTATTAAATTTACACTGATTGCCTGTTTCGTGGTTGAACTTGACCGTATTTATTTATCATAAAACGACGTTTTTTTTTTACAAATATAATATGCAACGAAATTCTCTTTTATGTCTACTTATACGCTCTAATACATGGTCGTACTGGGGCATTGAGGAGCAATGCCCTATTTTAAAAGGTCCAAAATAGGGCAGCTTTAAAATAAAGGGCCTCAAGAAAATTAGACAGATTAGTTTTTTCAAAAGTCACTTAATAATGGCTTCTGCCCTGCCAAAAAGTTCTTTTGCCCTACCTTAAACTTGGCTCTAGCAAGGGCCCTGTCCTAATAAAATTGTCATAAATCCCCTCCTTCATTTACAACACAAATTTGTAATAAGAATGTGGTTACTACGATCATGTAAACTAATATTTACATATTGTGTGCAGATGTTGCTGGAGGCAGGAGCAGACCCAAATATAGAGACCGGCGGACCTTCTGCTGCCCACTGCGCCATGCCTCTCTCCCCACGATCACCGAATACGCAGCAATCCGCCCCTGTTTATACTGCTCCTACTGCTGGTAAGTATAACATTAACATATGGTACAGTTTTGTCATAGTCTTTCGCATTTGAGTTTCGCGCTTGAGTTTATCTTTTTTTTTATTTAAAAAATAAATAAAATAATACGTCCATTAGATAAGTTGTTAGCTTGTTCGAATTCTTAATTTAATAAAAATTAAATTCGGGAGTATTTCTACACACAAACTAAACTACTTTATTCTAATCATCTGGATGAATGGCAGTCTTCCACCTTGCGTTTTTTAAGGCATTTTCTTCTACGTACAACCACTCTTTGCAATCAACTTCCAGCAGCAGTATTTCCTAACCGATACGATATCATAATCTTCAAGCAAAGAGCATATTCCTTTTTAAAAGGCAGGCTTTTTTTTCTGAATATCTTCGCCTGTAATGTCTAAGGTGTTGTAGGAGATCATGGGCAATGGTAGTCACTTACTATCAGGTGACCCGCATGCTCGTTTGCTCTCTGTGTTATAAAATTTTTTTATTAGAAGTTGAGTAATTATATTCAAAATATATAAAGTAACAGAATTATTTGTGGATAACATACTAGTGTTATCCAAACTTGGAAAGGTTACTAACACATGTACCTATCACGATTATTTGCGGTTTTCAGGTTGGACAGCACTGGTATACGCATGCAGCGGTGCTGGAGGTGCCGGTGGAAATGGTAGTGGCGGCGGAGGCGGCGCGTTGGAGTGTGCGCGGCGGCTGCTGGCGGCCGGCGCAAGGGTCGACGGCGCGCCCGCCAGGGGAGACGATGTGTGCACGCTCACACCGCTGCAGGTGACGTACTGTCCACGTTAGGGGTGCAGGGGACGGGGCGACTGTGGACGACGCACCCGCCAGGGGAATAACGTGTGCATGCTCACACCCCTGCCGGTGACATACTGCCGACGTAAAGGGTACAGGAGGCGGACTAGAGACTACAGCATGGGGTTCTTCAAAAGGGGGGTAAAGAGGTTTCTTCAGGGTCGGCAACGCACGCGTAATACCTCTGGTATTGCAGGTGTTCATAGGCTACAGTAACCGCTTACCATCAGGTGGGCCGTATGCTTGTTTGCCACCTCAGTGGTATAAAAAAAAAGGCGGGGCAAGCGAGGACGGCGCGCTTAATAGGGGAGACGACAAGTGTACTCTCACACGATTGCAGGTGGAATACTGCCGATGTAGGAGGCGTAGATTTAATTCATAATAGTAATTTTAGTTTCTAAATCGTTGTTCAGAGACAGCAGCAACGTTCACTCGCTAATTTAAAAGCATACGACTTTTAAATTAACTTTTACGACATATATAAAAAAAAATTGAAAATAGATAGATTGTGACGTTTGCCATACCACTTTATGATTGCTCTTAAGTAATAGAAAAAATATAAAGATTGACAGCAAATTTCATATAATTTTCTGCTATTACAAACGGTTTATAAATACGTCATCATGGGGGAGAAATGTAAACCTTAAAAATTTACTTCCTAATTCATGAACACAAACCTATTTTAACTATTGAATTATTTTATCTCTTTCTTTTACATTAAATTCCTATTTTTATAGAAAGTGAAGAAACATTGTAATAATTAAAGTAGGTTTCTAGGTTTTAATTTTTATAAATAAAGGAGAAAGAATAGTATCTGTCTACGGTGTAACTCACCTTTAACATTTTTAAATTTAATAGTGTTGCCATAACTAGAATATACAAAAATGCCCAAAAATTTAGTTAAGTAATAAATTACTACTACTAATTTCGTTTGTGGAAATATTTTGTTTAAAAAATGAATATATTAAGTATATATTAGTTATATTGGTAATTCATAACATGTATTTTATTTTTTCTTGAAGGTGGCTTGTGGAGTGGGTAACCTGGAATTAGTTCAGCTACTGCTGTCTCACGGCGCAGACCCATTCCTTTCAACACAGCTAAATGATGCATTGTGCTACTCAGCCGCTGCACAATACGGTTGTTATAGGTAACTATTGTAAATTAATATTCAATAGATTATTCGAAAATCGTCTTGAATAGGTAGGTAGAAAAATCCATTCGATACTGGATGCATAGTTCGTCAAAGTCATCATTGATTGCCAGTAACAATAATTAGATTACAATAATATTTCAAAATAGATGTCACAAGAATAAATATATTTCAATAATAAAGTTAGAAAACGAATGTAATAAGCAAAAAGCATCCAAATGGCAATCAAGTTGAGGACTCACTGTTGTTTTTTTTTTTCTTGATGAATGAGAATGAAGTAGTGACTCTAGAAAAAAAGGCGACTTTTAAAAAGTAATGCTTCAGAAATCGACTGTACTTTGTTGTATATATTACGAGAGATTATTATTATTAGAGAAATTATTGTCTTTGTCATTTTTAAATAGAGTTTGGTATTTTTTGCAATGGATAGAGTTTACTTCCGTGGGACCATCATACTGATTTTGTTACTGATTGAAGTCGCAGGTAAAATTAAAAAAAATGACATTTGATAGTAATTTTTTGGTGAGCGTAATTACTGATAGCGTAAATATGAATGTTGGCGTGAATTTACTGGGTACAGAGGAATAACACCTGAGTCCTCAGGAATGGCAACGTATGGGGGGTATCATGGGCGAAATAGTCTCGGTTATGTCCATGGTACTGCTCATGTCTATAGGCGACGGTTACCACTTTCCATCAGGTGGGCCGTCAGCTTGTTTGCCATTCTAAGTTGTATAAAAAAAAATGTGTTTTTATGGATGATAATAAAACAATAATCTACCTGTACTAACGGTATATGCTGATAGGGTACTAGTAAGAGATGATAGATGCCAATGAAAAGGCAGGTCTTTATTTTAATGTGTAAAAATAGAATGGTAACCTCGTCCGCGTTAGCGGCATACACCGACGGGGCAGCGGAAGTTGATAGGTGAGAATGAATGCAGGTCAATTGACCCACCATGATGAAATCGACAAGAATTAACCACGATAGTTTCCAGGGGGAATCGCTTGGAGATCAACCTGAGAGGGTATATTGCTAGCAATGGGGTTGCCCATTACTAACAATCCCTTTTCCCTCTAAAAGGGCAGGTCAGTTAGGCAGTCGCGCAATGAATACACTTGGAATTCAAGACGATGGTTTCGAGGGGTGGGGTGGGGTGGGGTGGGGTGGGTGGGGTTGTCACGTAGAGGTAGTCCGCGTTACTAACGGCCCGCGGGCGCGCAGCGCGGTGGCGGTGTGCTGCGCGCAGGGCAGGCGCGCGTGCCTGCGCGCGGCGGCGGCGCGGGCGGCGCGGGCGCGCGCGCCGTGCTGTCGCTGGAGGAGGCGCTGGCCGAGGGCGCCGCGCCGCCCGCGCGCGCGCCCGCCAGCAAGCAGCAGCAGCGGGCGCTGCTCGACGCCATGTACTACGCCGCCGAGACCGACCACCTGGGTAACTCTTCGTACACACCCTACCTTACCGGTTTGCGTCCCACTTCTGGTGACGACTCCCTCTATATAAGAAGAATTAGCTTGCTGTCAATATACTGACTAGACATTTCCTTGTAAAATTTTATTTCGACAGTTTCCTCTTGCACTGATGTAGCATATTCCTTTAGTCATTTTTACGGCATCCTAAGGATGATAATGTGATAACACGCTGTATTGCTACTCCCTCGCCAATCACCATAGTCGTTCCAATCTAGGTATGTCTGTTAATGCAGAAATCCATTCTGTTTTCGAAGAAACACTTTAAAGACAGGAAAAAAAGAATGATGTACATTTAAATATAAGAGTAAGGTAGTTTAAAAAACCAAGAAATATCTATATTGTATACAATAATACTTATACTATGAGAAGATTAAGTAAAGCAAAACAGCAAAATTCATAAGAGATCGTTACTCAATCAACATACATAAATTTTTCATGTAATACGACTCTTACTTTTCCATAACATGAATGAAAATAAAACACAGCCATTTGAACTTTCAGACATGACGCTAGAGTTGCGAGCGCTCGGCGTACCGTGGTCGTTGCATGCGTGGACGCTGTCCCTAGCGGCCGCCGCGGATGCCTCCCTCGACCACGTTATCGACCAGCTATTACAAGATTTTCTACAGGTTCTCATTATATCTTGTATTCATCATTACATCAGCTGTTAACTAGCTACTGTTGAACATAGATTTCTCTCTATTGAGAAGTTTTGCCAGTACCTGCCATGCTTGGCCTCCGCCTGTTTGGCAATCGCAGTTACACTTTGGTGATGTTTGAAGAAGGACGCTGCTGCTCAACCCACAACCATTAAGTTCCTTTAATCACCTCTTACTACACCCACGCGAAAAGAAGGAATAGCTCATTCTATGCTTTCAATTTCGTGTATAATGTAGTATATGTCATATATGTGTAAGTATATTTACCAGATACATATATACCAGAGGGAGACTCTGTACAAAAGTCGATTGCTTAGGTGCCTCTGTCCCATTCGTGTTTCTACCGTGAAGCAGTTGTATTTGCATGGATGTGTTTCGGTTTGAAGGGTGAGATATGGCGTGAATTTACAGGGTACAGAGGAATAACACCTGAGTCCTTAGGAATGGCAACGCATGGGAAGTATTATGGGCGAAACAGTACACTCTGTTATGTCCATAGTACTGCTCACGTTTATAGGTGACGGATACCACTTTCCATCGGGTGGGCCGTCAACTCGGGTGCCATTCTAAGTAGTATAAAAAAAAATGTTATTTATATATATTTATTTGTTTATATATGTAATTTTAGTATTCATACCGCATATTCATTCATTCAGTACCGTATTCAAGTATTGTTCCCTATGGTTGACTGGGAAAGAATGCTTTTAGCATTAAGTCCGCCATATACACATATATGTACTAATGAATAAATAAAGAAAAATGCTTTATTATTTCAGGTATGTCCATCCGACGACAGCCACTATAGTAAACAATTTATTTACGAATGTCTTCCCCTGCTGTTCAACATTTTACGGTACAGCAAAGTAAGTTAATTAGGTTAATTTTAAGCAGTTTTTTTTTACATTATACGTTATTATTATTAACACTTAACACAATATAAAAACAATTCAAATCCACTCAACCGTTTATTTAATCGTGTTTAAGTTAAATCAACTGACATGTCTTCATCCTCGCCTGTCCACACACTGGTATACAGACAACAAACCAATAACATTAAATTACCATTTGATTGAGTATTATAATATGCTTTTTAACTGTATTGGGTTGACTGGAAGAGATCTCTGTCAGAGATTAGTCCACCCTTGCTCACAATATTAATAAATGCATTAACAATGTAATTTACAAGTGCAATAAAGAATCTCTCTCACTCTCTCTATTCATAATTATAATATTAGCAGGATTACTAATTAAAATACAAAAGATTCAAGTAATAGTGTGGCATGGTTGTAGAAGGAGGGCACGGTGCTGCTGCTGGCGGACATCCTGTGCGCGTGCTACGGCTGGGAGCCGGTGCCGAGCGTGGCCGCGCCCGCCGCGCCGCCACCCACGCCCGCGCGCGTCGACCCCTCCTACGTCAACAACCCCTCACTCGCCGACGTTACCTTCAGGTACACCTCATATCTTTCACCGATCATATCTTCATTATCAATATTACAATTCAACCATCTTCTATTGCTGGACATCCGGCTCGAAGGATCATAAAATGTTGGGGGGAGGGGGGGTCTTTCCCTCACTTTTGTGATTTATTGCTAATAACAAATAGTAGGTATACCATTGGTACATCGCTTAGATTAATTGTTGTTCGTAAACTGATTTTAATAAATTAAAAAAAAAAGAATATGGCAAAATGATTTAAGCTACTAGATATGTACGCTGGTCTGTACAATTTTCCTTCATATCTCTCCATAAAGTACTGATCTACGCAACATACATCCAACGACATCCTAGAACTGGAACATGAACAACAACTATGAGATGACACCCCCCCCCCCCCATCTCGCAGTGTCGCCTCACAACACGTTTCATTCTTATCTTACTAACCCAATTTTGGTTTTCATACAGAGTTGAGGGGCGCCTGTTCTATGGCCATAAGATTGTGCTAGTGTCCGAGTCACCGAGACTACGAGCGATGCTAGCTCCACCCCGTCCGGCTAGCGAGGCGTTGTCGCCAGCTAGCACCACGCCACCTCTTGTGCAGATCAATGATATCAGATATCACATATTTGAGGTGAGTAGACATAAATAAACGACTTACATACATATATTTTACAAATGTATTACATAGGTATTTTAATGTAAAAAAATATCAGTCAGTACTTTTATGAGGATGTCGCCTACTCATGACGACTGTATGTGTTCTCCGAAGGGCGAAATAAGTAGTAATCATTGTTAAAAAAAAAAAACAAATATGAATTTGGAAATTTTAGAGGTTTAGGCTACGTTTCGATTCGGTGGTTTGTAGATGACAGTCAATCGGTGTTCGACTAACTTATCAGTACTCCCAAATGGTGAAATAATAAACTATTTTTTATGCAACTTGAAATGGCAGACAAGCTAACAGCCCTCCTGATCGGAAGTGATAACCATCGCCTACAGAAATGAACAGTATCATGGACATAACAGAGTATACTCTATCGCGCATGATACCCAAGCGTGGCCATTCCTGAGAACGAAAGACATTATGCCTCCGTACCCTAGAATTTCACTGGCGTATCTCACCCTTCAAACCGAAACACAGCCATGCAAACACAGCTGCTGCACGGTAGAAACACAAAAATAATAATAATAAAATTACATCACAGCAAGTCATGAAGTACCTGTACTCCGGTGGATGTTCTGGTCTGGACATACCCGAGAATGACGTGCTGGAAGTGTTGGCAGCCGCGTCATTCTTCCAGTTGCTGCCGCTACAACGGTTTTGTGAGGCCCGCGCTGCCAAGACTGTGGATCTACACAATCTTGTTTCAGTGTACATTCACGCCAAGGTTATTTATTTGATTACTTCATTACATACCTTTAAATGCATTTAACTCACTACTTATAAAACATAAGTAGACAGAACAAGTTTCTGTCTACGTATGTATGCTAAATGGTGACCACGTTGGCAATAACAAATGTAAAGTTTTTTTTTTTTTTAATTGATAATTTATGTAACTTTTTTGTTGTTGGTAATAAAGGTTTTCTTTCTTTCTTTCTTGTATGATAATGAAGAAGCAAATGACGGTATAAAAATATCATTCGGTGATTTTAAATTGTTAAATTGATCGGTCTAGTTCATCACTATTATTATTTGTATTTATATGTTTATTTAATTCGTAAATTATATATATATATATATACCTAGTATACTATGTAGATATATCCCTTTTTTGCATACTTACGAAAAGTTCCATCATAATATTGAATGCCCAAAATCTATATAAAACAACAAGTTCACTTTAAGTTGATCGTGTCTAGATACCTTTTTAATGTCCATTGCAGAAAAAAAACATAGCTGTCAAGTTTTAACCATTTTTCCTTTAATTTTGAACATGAATTATATCAACTTGATTTATTTCACCAATAAAAATAAATCATGCAAAGAAGGGATATCATCGTCGTCATCATATCAGCCATTATCTGTCCACTGTTGAACATAGGCCTCCTGCATAGACTGCCCTCAGAACAGGACGATTCCTTATAGAAATTTACTATTGGGAGCATGTTGCCAGCGGTTGCCATGCTTGGCAGACGGATTGGCAATAGCATTTTATCTTTTGCTAATGTTTTAAAAGGGATGCTGCTGCCCATTACTCGACCATTAAATTCCCTTAGTCGCCTCTTACAACACCTAGGAGAAAGGAAGGGATGGCCCATTCTATGCCGAAACCACACGGTATGGTGATATAATGATGATGATAAATGATGACATAGATTCTTATTCCCATCATTTTAAAATATTCCACATGTAAGTACCAGTAGTTGACTTTACCTCATAATTTTTTATTGAATAAAACTTTTTTTTTCACAGGTCTACGGCGCCACTCAACTCTTAGAGTATTGTCAAGGTTTTCTTTTGCAGAACATGGTAGCTCTACTTACATACGATGACTCGGTAAAACGACTGTTATTTGGAAAACGTTTGCCCGGACACAATGTTCTGGGAGCATTATTGACTACCTTACAAAAACGCATTGAAACCAGGAAGAATCAGGCAAAACCTAGGTAGCAGTAATAGTTATAATTCTAATGTAGATGAAGTCGATCCCAACAGAACTAGACAAAACCATTGCTAAATATCAAATGCATCATAAACACCATTGCTAAATGAACTTTATAAACTAGGTTTCATTATATTATTACCACATAGCAATATCAAGTCTGACTAGAAAATATAAAAACGGGCCAATTTGATATTTTTTTTTTACTAGCAATATTAACACTAATGTCAAAATATGATTGTATTGTGTAATTCAAAGCTCAGTACAATTTTTACTCAATAATTTAAAATTGGGACGGCACTTGTGGCTTATACGATTATTTGACCAATTTACTTTTCGGATCAGATATGCCACTCTGTAAAGATCGGCACTAATATCACATTTTAAATACCTCACTTTCATTTCACGTAGACACTTCATCTAAATTTTATATTTTCAAATCTCTAAGCTTGTAAACTTTGGGAATATCAAGTGAAATAATATGAGTTTTAAAACCTAAACTAAATGCCTAAAAATGATAACACACTTTTCTCAGTACACTACGCTGCCCCAGCTTAAAAACTGCTGATGTCGAATTTACTTGTCAACCAACTTCTTAATAGAATTATTATTATTATAAACCTATGATTTCCCACTGTTAGGGAAAGGTCTCCCCCATCTTTTTCCAAAACTTCCTGTTCAGCGTTACCTGAAAACAGTCCTTTTTAAATACATCTATCTTATCACGCAATGATTTCTTGGGCCTGACCTCCACTACTCTGTCCTTCAATAGACACCTACTGAGTAAAGATCTTTAAGAAAAAATGTAAATCGCTAGTGTATTCCCTAGCGAAATTCAAGTTTATCTTTATAGAATAGCACTATTGAGAGATCTAAGAACAAATATTATGACGTTGTCTGAAAAATAGGTTTCTATATAGTCACAGAATGTAAAGTGGAGATATTTACATAATATCCTTGTCTAAATTAATATTTGACAGTTATGTTACAATCAAATTAAAATATATTATGGTTCTTTCCATTGTCTCATATTCTTGATAGATTTAACAGTTATATTTTTATCAGAAATACATGAGTTACAAATAGTTTTTTAATTCTAATTATTTATATCGTAAAATATAAATATGTTACACATAGGATTGGAGTGTAATTGTTTTCTGGTCAGACTTAAAATTGTTTAAGTACCTTCTTAGACCAACGAAGAAAAAGAAAAATAACTAAACTTACTATCTCGGAAAAAAAAATAGTTATTTCCATAGACAAAATTTACTTTGTGAACTAGTTCTGAAAAAAAATATATATAATTACCTATGAATTACAATACTTACAATTTGATTAAAGTTTGATCTTAATTTTATCAGATAGTAAAGATAAAATATATTTTATTATGTAGATACCTAAGTAGAATGTATACAGAAGAATAGAGTACAATAGAATTATGTTTGTGTTATATAAATTAATAACGATGTCCTTTCGATCAACCTCTATAAACTACTGTATTAAATCAAAAGTATTACGATTATGTAACAAAACTGTAATTATTGTTGAAATAAAGCTTGTTGTAAACGTGAAATCCTGGTGATTCTTTATTTTATTCCTTTATTTCAATTTACAAACTTCTTTAAGAACATTCTCGACTCCGTTCGACTGCGTAAGCAGGGTTTAATCTTAAACAATAGTCATAGATTTAGTACAACGTACTACAAACTACGTACTAATTATAATCTAAGACAATTGTTTGTGTACTTCTCTTATATTTTAACCTTGATATTATAATGTGATAATTTTATGAAATTGCTTTTTCATAAGTCTTCATAAAATAAAATTACAATAATTTTTACTTAAATCTATTAAAAATAAGTTAATATTGGTCGTCACAATAAAGATTTCACTGTGATATCCTTACGTTATATTAAGTATATAGTGATATCTAACTGAAATGTTAATATTAGAGATAAGATTAACCTTTTTAAAAATATGGCACCTCTGAATTGCCCCAATGTTTGTCTAGATGATTCCAGCGTCCTGAAATGGTAAAGGGGAAAAATCATAATATAAAGAAATTTACAATTAATAAAGGAGAAGTTAATTATATAATTACAACATTATTAGTAAATGAATAAAGATTGGCTATATAGAAATAAAACCACAGTTTTTATTATGTTCAAACTATAGACAGCTATATTTTTAAAAACATATATATTTATAGAAAAAAAGGAAGTATTTACTAAATTTTACTATTGACACAGAAATCGGTGAATACATATGCATAATATCGATAAATTATAAATACCTACTATAAATAGTGTTTATTATTAACGATTCTAAAATGCCATATATTCTATCTGGAAAATAATTTGCAATAGTCAACAAATATTATATAAATATTTATTGTCTTTATTTCTGTATAAAAGCAATCAGCAAACGAATGCTTGCGCCTCTGCAGAGCGATTAAGGAACTAAAGTTAAAAAAATTATATTATCAAAGGACTAATGATGGTCATATATCACTAACAAACAAAAAACAAGATAGAAAATTTTAATATTAAAAACGATTAATAAGAATTTTGGTATTAGTTACAGTTTGATGATATTATAAGAAATAAAGGAAGCTAAAGACTTATAAACAGAGTTCGAAAAATCCGATTTTTATAATAAATATCAAAAATCCAATTTTTTTATATAATATATATCCGATATATTATATCAGATATATATCCCGGCTAAGAAAAAGAAGCGAATTTCATTCTGTAAGAGGTTACACGCTTAAAAATGTAAAAGGAATTTGTAAAATTATTACTACATTTATTACTTAAGACCATTATTATTACCACATTTCCAGCAAATAAATAAATGTATATTATTAAAAAAAACTTAACAAGTAACAAAAGAATTACTTAAAAATAATTTAAGAAATAATTTAAATGAACAATTAAAAAAAAAATTAATAAAACTAAATTTGACAAATAACTTACATGAACAATTAAAAAAAACAAGTACCTATTATTATAGTAATAATCTTCAAATCTTTGTGAGATAAATTAACAAATTTTAATAATAATTTGTCATCATAAAAGTAATCATTCAGTGTCAGGCGTTAAGCATAGATCTATGAGTGAGACATCATCATCTGGCTCCCAGTCCCAGTCAACCTCTGTTTCTGTTTCTTCTTTGATGTCCTCATTGACATTCACACTGGGATTCCAAATCCAGTCCATATAATGTAGATGTGAATGATATATTATATGAAGTTAAGGTTTGAATTTCAATAAATAGCTAGCCGTACTGGTAAGTTAAAGGGGGCAACTTTAAATAAGGTTGCCATTTTGGGAAACACGCTAAATTATTCTGAATTGTAACGTCTAACACGTCTCCTTTATTACAATCACAGAACATGTTTTAAACATTAACAAAGTATCTTGATAAATGACAAAAAAAAATTATAATAGACACTGTAGCAAATTATATAAAATGATAGGTAATATTTACATAACTCATTAGAGGTTAAATATTAGAAATAAAACAAAGATAATTCTTCTAAAGTGAAATAATTAAATAATTAAAATATCATACCATAGGCATAGATATGGTAATAGTTACTATTATTCATTGTCTATAATAATGGATACATAGATAATTGACGTCAAACTTGAATTGTCAATTCTTGATAAAAAAAAAGAAATTTGTCTATTGCCCACATGGTGGTTGTGAGATGAGACGAGAGTACACTTCATGTAGCGAATTTTTCAATAATTGCGAAGTGATTTTATTTTATATGTATAGTGTAATTCTAGTTATTAATGTCGTGACAGTGAAAACAAAATGCAGTTTTATAAGGAAAAGAAAATCCTCAACGCCGCACAATTAAAAAGACTCAGTGAACATAAGTATTCGTGTACAAGTGACAGTATTCTTGATGCTCTACTTCAGCCGTGGTGGTGCTGGCTGGTCTCAAAAACACCGCTTTGGCTCGCACCGAATCTCATTACTATTCTAGGTTTAATAGTTAATATAGTCACCACACTAATTTTAGTATGGTAAGTACATGAAGGTTACAAACAATACAAAGTCTCACATTTATCTAACGCTCGGAACGACTTTCGTTTTTAATTTGAAACCAAGTCTTTCTCTCTTATTTATACTTTTTACATGTATGTAAAAGCAACTTCAGTGATTATTTATTACAATAAACTTTTCGTGGTCTAATGTTTACATCGTTAAATATGCACAATGGTGTGATTCACGATTGGCCAATGCTCATGTCGCGCGACACGCTTCTGATTAGATACTATAAAGAGTGTATTGTCTGCTAGCTTAATCTCATCTTTCTTATGACACTTCTTATTGTAATTATAAAACCATAATAATATAACTGTGATATTAAATCACCTTTTGATCTATTTATGTAGTGTACCCTTATAACAGGATTCTTATAAGATTATATTTGTCAGAAAAATTTAATATATAAAAATCCCTGTAATAATGTTCATTTACATACACTAATCTCCAAAACTATTGAACAAATTTTAGTATATGTTATCAATTTATAAATTATTCAACTTTACATTTATCAATATGCTAGAAAACTGACTGCACATTTTTTAGCACATTGGCTTGCCTTTCACATAATTATTACAAATTTTAATAAAATTCCAAATTATATTTCAATCCAACTTGAGAGTGGATACTTTTTATTCTGTTAAGTGGCTCTCATTATATTTAATAGAGCAAAACAAATATTGTTTTTTTTTTTGCTTATTAGCTAGTAACATACTAAAAATGTCTGTGAATCTATAATTTATGTCTAATATTTTCATCATTACATATTTAAATAGTTATGTTACATATTTACATAAAGACTAAATTATAATAACAAAATGTCAGCATTTGAATCAGTACATAATAAGTAGTACCTATTGTCACATATTTTCTTGGATTCCCTACTTGAGTTTCAATTTAATATTAAAAGACTTTGAGTACTTAATGCAGGTCCTTTATTCAATCAACTGATGACAATTGCAAAGAGTGTAAGACAAAAGATGTCATAAACAAACATCAAAATTGACAATACAGAGATAATTTAATGAAGCGCATGAACATTTGTAAATGATCCTTTTCTAAACTAATCATAATTTATGACACCTATGCTGAGCATTGGCATATTTAGGAATATTTTCCAGAAGGCGGGCTGTCCCTTCAAAATAATGCATATGTACTCTCTGATACCTTTTTTGTGAAGCTTTGCTCACATCCTGGTATAGGCGCAGCCGTATGCCCAAAACCCCCCACTCCTCACCTCTCAAATTTATTTATAATACTACATACTTTAAAACATATGTATTTATTTCTCTTTATAATCCAAAATCAAATATGTTGCATTCAACCTGATACAGTATAAATTTTTGATAAAAACTAATTAAAAATTTAATTGTTTAATAATAATAGTTAAGCTACATTAATCCTTAAAGGTCAATGTACTTATTATGTTTTATTGTTCTGTATTAATGAATGTATGATGCTACTTTTGTATATAACAACATACAGTATAATGTATGATACTTTTTTATATAGATGTTAGTTGTTTATGACTATAAATAACAGTCACCATTTTCTATTACTAATCTAATACCATCACACTGGGGGAAAGGGATTGTTAGTAATGGAGACTGAGAATCCTATTGCTAGCAATATACCCAACCAGGTTGACCACCTTGCGGTTCTCCCTGGAAACTATCATGGTTAAATCCTGTTGAATTCATCATGATGGGCTAACTGGCCTGTTTTCATTCTTATCTATCACCCTTCACTGGTGCTCCGCCAGCGTAACTCTGTTAGTGCAGGCGGGGTAACCATATCATTTTCATCCATAAAAAAAATACCATCACACTGATAGCCATTCTAGATTGTCTAAAAAATTAAAAGAAAAAGAAGGATTAGACAAACATGAAATATTCTTTATAAAATTTGTGTTTCTACTGTGAAGCAGTTATGTTTACATAACTAGCTGTGTTTTGGTTTGAAAGGTAGAATATGGCAGTGAATTTACAAGATACAAAGGAATAACATCTGAGTCCTCAGGAATGGCAACACATGGGGGTTATCACGCGTAAAGCAGTATACTCTGTTATCTCTTTGGTACTGCTCATGTCTATAGGCAATGGTTACCACTTTACATCAGGTGGGCCGTCAGCTTGTTTGCCATTCTAAGTTGTATAAAAAAAAACTTTTTCAGAAAAAAATTATATTACTAAGTTTGCCATGCCATATCATTGTTTTATTAAAAACAATTACTAAATCGACTTAGTGTGATCAGATAGACCGTCTCCGAAGAACTGGCATGTTTATGTATGGGGCGAGCTATATATAAAGTCGGCCTTAAAGGACTTCTCTGGAATTCCTTAAAGGAATGTCTGGTAACCCTTAAAGGACTTGCCGTGTATTTTACTTCACTAATACTAAATCTAACTAGATGATATCTATATGTAGAAGATATTTAAGAAAAAATAATAATTGCTAGAAAATTTGTCTGACTAAATGTTTGTTCCGACATCACACAAAAACTGCTGCACCAAATTGGATGTGATTTTCACAATTGTGTTCCTAAAGGTCAAATGTAAAACATGGTGTATGTTTTATTTTGACACTCCGGGCCTATTTCATTAGTTTATCTACTACTGAAACCCAATTATATGAAGTAGGGGGCATGAAGTTAGTGTACATATAAAAACATCCCTGTATATTTCAGGTACAGTCCAGACGCGCGGCAGAATCCACCGGGGTGGTCGTTCGCACTATGTGCACTAGGAGTGTTCATATACCAGAGTCTGGACGCCATCGATGGCAAACAGGCGCGGCGGACAGGCAGCCAGTCGCCGCTCGGGGAGCTTTTCGACCACGGCTGCGATAGCATATCTACCGTGTTCATAGCGCTCGGCGCCTGCATAGCAGTTAGACTTGGCGAGTATCCCACTTGGATGTTCTTTCAGGTGAGTCTTTTGCTCTACTAATATGTTATTTGTTATGATTTCTGGTATAGCAAATAAGGCGGCCTGCCTGATGGAATGGGGGGGGGGGAATTGTTAGTAATGTAGACTACCAGTCGCATTGCTACCAATATCACATATAATAAGTCGACCTCCACATGGTCTCCCCTGGAAAGCATCGTGCTGAATTCCAGGTGTATTTATCACGATGTGCATACTGAACTGCCTTTTCATTCTCACCTATCATCCCTTACTAGTGCCTCGTCTGCGTATACCGTTAGCGCAGGCGGGGTTACTATTTCATTATCATCCATAAAGAAAAAAATATCTTAACCATGTTACGTGATTAGTACTTCTCAGGAATTGCTATTCCTAAGAACTTAATGTGTCTGAAAAACTATGCAAGTACAGCTTTATTTATTAATGTTATAAAATTTTGGCGTCAGGCAGGCGGCCAGTTGTGAAACTATAAGCCAAATCTTTTTATAATATTAATAGGAAACATATTACGCCGACCCCAAATAATAAATGGCATAAGGGTAGGAAGATGGTAAATAAAAAATATTGATTAAATTTATAAAGTCTTTAAAACCAAAATAAAAAAAAAATTTACAAAATGCTTATACACCTCACATTAATACAAAATTCAAATCCATAGATTATTGTCTTTTGAATAGTCTCATTTATTTTATAGTATGCTTTAGTTCAAGGAGTCTTTTTTTATATTTTCCATAAATTTTCTTTCATTTAAATTTAAAACATCATATGTAAGTTTATTATAAAATGTGTACAGTGTCCCATGAAAGATTTACTTTCCAAAGACGTTAACCAGGCATATTCAATTTATTTATATATTAAATTGAAAGTAAGATGGACGTATGTTGACCAAATAGTCGACGTGCTGAAGAAGGGCCAAATTAAAAGTACCCGTAACCGGCGAGCGTGTATGAAAAGATTGATGAATGTGGAAGAAGCAAAAGAGGTTTGTTTGAATCGAAGCATTAGGCGTTCCATTGTTTCTGCCTACCCTAATGGGAGACAGGCGTGACTCCCATTAGGGTGTATGTATGTATGTATGAAAATAATGAATTACATAATACTTTTGTAAATATATTGATATGGGACAGTAAATAAGTATATTTGTCTTTTTTTTTTAATAAAACCTGTGTGATTTAGGATGAAGTATTATATGTATTAATCCAAGGCAAAGTCTATTTTTGTACCAAATGACATTGAAATCTGATCGTAGTGGTCAATAAATATCTCTAGTTACTGCCCTGTCTTGAATTACAGTACTATATTATTGCGACATCAAAGGAAATTTGACAACCTTGGTAGTGTAACGTCTCTCCTCTTTGGATGGTTGTGAGATCGATCCTCACAAAATACAAACTTTTTATTCATGTATTTTATAAAAGAAATATATTTTATCATATGTATGAGTCATACATTCTGTGATATTTTCAATGATTGTAGTATCTCTCGCACTCATACTTCAAGTGCATCACTGGTATTCTTATCGCTAATGCAACAGCAGGAAATTTCTAATTTTTAGACCCAAATTCGTGTCGTACCGGAATTGGTCCAGTAAAAGGAACTTAACTTTTTTATACAACTTAGAATGGCAAACAAGCTGACAGCCCACCTGATGTAAGTGGTAACCGTCGCCTATAGACATGAGCAGTACCATGGACATAACAGAGTATACTGTTTCGTCCATGATACCCCCCATGCGATGCCATTCCTGAGGACTCAGGTGTTATTCCTTTGTACTCTGTAAATTCACGCCATATCCCACCCTTCAAACCGAAAAACAGCCATGCAAACACAACTGCTTCACGGTTGAAACACGAATGGGACAGAGGTACCCATGCAAGGTGTCTTATCGTAAATTAACGCTCACCCCACTTACATTGTAAATGATTGTGTACAATTTTTTGTATACATTCTGCTTTAATAATTTATCGCTTTCGGCCCAGTGATGATAAATCAGTTATCTTTGTGTGTATAGTCATGGAATGACATAATCATAATTGTGATTTATATACCTACGTCTTAATACATTAATCGCTATCTCTTATATGATCGCTAACTATATCCCGCGGCTTCGTCCGTAGTCTTATCGTGATGTTATACAGTCTTCCTCAATAAATGTATTATAAAATGCAAAAAAAATCTGATCCGATTGTTTTTTTTTTCAATGGATGACACTGGAATGGTAACCTCGCCCGCGCTAACGGTATACACCGGCGGGGCATCAGTGAGGGATGATAGGTGAAAGGGCAGGTCAGTTAGACCATCGTGATGAATACACCTGGAATTCAGCACGATGGTGGTTTCCAGGAAGGACCACGTGTAGGTCGACCTGACTGGATATATTGGTAACAATAGGACTGATTATTCGCATTACTAACAATCCCTTTCCCTGGTAGTTCCAGAGACTAGTGTGTTCAAATAAATACTTATTAATGTAGATTTCTCTATCGATTCCTTCAGGAAAAGTTTTAAATCTTTCCATTGTTAGTTGATTATTACGCACTGTTCGTATTGTTATTGAATGAATGAATGAGTATACTTTATTTGCATTATACAATATAGGGGAAAAGGGATTGTTAGTAATGGAGACTAAGAATCCCATTATATTATATATTCAACCAGGGCGATCTCCTCGCGGTTCCCCCTAGAAACTATCATGATTAATTTCTGATGAATTCACCATGATGGGCTAACTGGCCTGTTTTCATTCTCATCTATCACCCTTCACTGGTGCCCCGCCGGCGTATCCCATTAGCGCAGGAGTTACCGTTACCATACCATTTTCACCCATAAAAAAAATATAGGGGGAAACTAACACAATTAATAAATATAACGATACAGTTGTATAAGTACAGTAAGGCGGACCTGAGTCCTCAGGAATGGCAACGCATGGGAAGTATCATGGGCGAAACAGTACACTCTGTTATGTCAATGGTACTGCTCACGTCTATAGGTAACGGTTACAACTTTCCATCAGGTGGGCCGTCAACTCGTTTGCTATTCTAAGTTGCATAAAAAAAAAATGTTAATTAAATCACCTTAAAAATTAATTTATATATAAAAACACGAATACTGGCCAATAAGTGCGACGAGTGAAATGTGTCTAGACCGTTAATATAATAAAAAAAAAAAAGAAATTAGATAGTAAAAGTAAAATTGTAGAACGGCGCGGCGTTCGAGTCATGACGATTGGCTGAATGGCGTGCGCGCAGATAAGTCAACAGATAAAACAGTTACTTTTCGTCTTCATGTATTTCTGTTTTTAACTGAGCGTACGTCACAGTATTATATCTACCTATATATAACTAACTTGCCCGCAAATTCGTACGCGTGGACTTTGGTAATAGGTAAACCAATGAAATGGATCACTAGTAGACGGTGCGTCAAGATAGAACACACATAAAGGAACGTAACCGCATCCAATTTTGTGCAGTAGTTTTTGCTTGTCAGAACCAATATCTAATATATAAAATTCTCGTGTCACGGTGTTTGTTACCAAACTCCTCCGAAACGGCTTTACCGATTTTCATGAAATTTTGTGTGCATATTCGGTAGGTCTGAGAATCGGCCAACATCTATTTTTTATACCCCTCAATGATAGGGGTGACCCACCCATAAATTTTTTTTTGACAAATTTAAATAATGTATATGGCAAAACAACGTTTGCGAGATCAGCTAGTTATACTATAAAATTATATTGTCTTATATTGGCTAACGTCTATGTAAATCCTTTTCACAGTCTGGTGGATACCGAAAGGTCGTTATGTGGCAATATTAATTCAATAATTAGTGAAACAGCGCACTCAAATACTACATTGAGTTGTACTTTCAACTAGTAACATACCATCTAAATGCACACGTCTGGTTTTCGCTATCAAAGGAAATGCATATTATTACTTGCACAACCTAATTGAAATTAAATAAATTGTGTACTAGTTATTCGAAACTATACAATCCTAATTTTACTGGCGAGACGGCGAAAGTGAAAGGCTTGAGTTTTACAAAAATACACTCGAAAGTGAGATAGCTCTAATTACAAATGTATTATAGGAAACTTACTCTAATATTATAATTTCACAGCAACAGCGAAGCGCCCATATATTCCACTGTTTAAAGTGTTTCAACTTTTTACATAATTCTCTGCGCTCATGAGGGTTTAGTTGAAAAAAAAAATAGGTTTTAAACCACCAAATGTAATTTTAGAAGCAGCAATATTGGTCCTCAAATATAGAGCTGCTCGAAGGAGACGAAAGCCCTTAAAAGGCAGGATTCCTGTTCCCAACATTCACGTTGATATTCACTTAGTGGGTAATTAGGTAATTATTATATTTTTTTATACCACTGAGGTGGCAAACAAGCATACGGCCTATCTAATGGTAAACAGTTTTCGTAGCTTCCGCCTGCAATATCAGGGGCATTACGCGCGCGTTGCCGTCCATGAAGAAACCTCTTTATCCCTTTTTTGAAGAACCCCATATTGTAGTTTATTGGAAAAACCTCGACAGGGACCTATATATAAATATTTACAAGGTTATTAATCAATACTGAATAGATAAATGATAAGTGCATCAATTTACACTTTACGTATGTTCACGAATCAAGGAAATAATTTGGTAGTATCATGGATAGCTCGTTGCCCGAGCAAAATTCTTATTCGGGAGTCTTGCCAAGGCGAGCGTCGTGGCCAAAATGCTGGCTGGACTGATGCCAATCAACGCCATTCAGTTTTTACCTAAACCGGACGAGCTACTGGTAAATTTGTACCACCTGCTTATTACATTAGCAAATTATGTAATGAGTTGTCATGTTCTCCAGAAATGTGTTGTTTCCTCCAACTACGTTACGCAATTTTCTGAAATATAAGATTACAATCTTTACCAAATTAGTTTTTTGCAATTATACAATTAGTCTGACATTAAAAATTCTCGACCAATCTTTTATAAAATGTCGTTTTTACATTATTTGTTTTCCATGCTTATATATCTAGTTTCATCTAATGCAAAAGAATAAGGGGGAAAGGGATTGTTAGTAATGGAGACTGAGAACCCTATTGCTAGCAATATATCCAACCAGGTCGACCTAGCGGTTCCCCCTGGAAACTATCATGGTTAATTCCTGATGAATTCATCATGATGGGCTAACTGGCCTGTTTTTATTCTCACCTATCACCCTTCACTGGTGCTCCGCCAGCGTATTCCGTTAGCGCAGGCGGGGTTACCATACCATTTTCACCCCTCAAAAAAAAATGCAAAAAAATAAAGTCAAACAAATATGATGTCCTTGAATGTTTGGATCTCTTTTTGAGCTGCCGCTCATTCATTTCTTTGAATTACGTGTAACTATAGAACAAGGATCTGATATTAATAAAAAGGATTCAATATATATGTAGATCCAAAACACCTGCAATATATCTAATCCACTAATGTATACTAATTGTGTATAATCTAACTATAATATAACTGTTTTGAGTACTTCGCAGAGATTATTAAGATCACAGATTAAAAATATCGTACTTTTATAGACAAAACGGCGTAAAAACTCCTTCGTTTTTATGTTGACCTGGTACCCGCGAATACATGACCGTTATAAGAATATTTAGAACCAAAGTTCACTTTCTTGTTCAAGATCCATTACAAAGCGAAAAATATTAACCGAAAATCAGGTTAAAATGAATCAAAAATGCATGATAAAGTCATCTTTTGCGAACCAGTTAATACATAACGGCATTTTTTTTTTTATATCTAAAACAGTCCGTTCTTCAATCTTGATGTTTCCGTATTGTCATTTTTTTTTATAGTTATCCGTTTAGAGATAAGAGTGGTCTGATCGTATGATCAAATCGTCAACTTCCAATTAGGTGGGTGTACGTTGATAACAAAACGTAGTTATCGGTAGCGAACCTGCATTTTGGTTTGATAGTGTATAAAAAAAATAAAAATATAAAAAAAAAAAGGAGTACTCGAACCTGCATTTTGGTTTGATAGTGCGAGTACTCGGTTACGATTGCTTAGGTTATGACGCGTTTATTGAACTTCAATACACTTCGATAACTACAATGTTAAATGCGAACGGTAACATAAATAAAAAAAAAAACTTGGTATTTACAAATTGATATTATGAGTATTTTTTAAAAAACTAAATTAGAAATCGCAAACATATATGCTTAAAGCTATAAACCTTTATGTTTTTTTTTATACAACTTAGAATGGCAAACAAGCTGACGACCCACCTGATGGAAAGTGGTAACCGTCGCCTATAGACATGAGCAGTACCATGGACATAACAGAGTATACTGTTTCGCCCATGATACCCCCCATGCGTTGCCATTCCTGAGGACTCAGGTGTTATTCCTCTGTACCCAGTAAATTCACGCCATATCCGAACCTTCAAACCAAAACACAGCCATGCAAACACAGCTGCTTCACGGTAGAAACACGAATGGGACAGAGGTACCCAAGCAATCGACTTTTGTACAAAATCTCCCTCTGGCAAATATTCAGGTATGTAGTCAGATGTATTAGTCGACTGTTGCCATTATGGTAAAAATAATACACAATATGCCCACATTTTTCCGAAAAATTTTTTTTAATAGGTGATAATGGAATGAATGGTAACCCCGCCTGCGCTATTGGTATACGCTGGCAGGGCACCAGTGGGGGATGATAGGTGACAATGAAAGCAGATCAGTTAGCCCGCCGTGACGAATTCCACTAGAATTAACCACGATGGTTTCCAGGGTATACCACGTGGAGGTCGACCTGATAGGGTGTATTGCTGGCAATGGGTCAGCTAGACCCCATTACTAACAATCCCTTTCCGCCCTTCCGAGAATATTAGAATCTAGATCCATGTGATACGACGCCCTTATCACCTTTTATGTGTTAGTAGGTTTTACCCACTTTGTCCACATAACCGGGATATGTATACTGACCTTGATTAAAAGTAGCCTAGATCCTACTGCATCGCAAATAGTACATGTGTATCAAATTTCATATTTATTCATAGTTATTGATCAAGTCTTTGAGGTCTTATAAGGTAACAAGTAAACTGCCTTTCACATTTATAATATTAGTAAATATTGCCATAAGATATAAAAAATAGTCTTTAAATCACGGGTCATCTATTCATACGATCACCATCAGCTTCCTTGCATTCTATATTCTGGTTTGAAGAGTGAGAGATTAGGTTGCAAGTTTTCATGATTCCCAAGCCATAGAAACGATATTTTCAAAAAAATTTTAAGCATTGTTACTCAGGATGATATGCTGTTCGAAAATGTATGAGTTATGGTGAAATAGAGAAACTCGCATACATAAAACCTAGAAACTTTGCATTCCCTGTTTTGGATAGTCGTGTAAAAAATCTGTACACACCAGTATATCGTTGAAGCAGTATTTTAAATCGAATAGCTGCAGTTAAACTCTTCTTTACATGTCATCTGCATATGTTTAATTTTAAATATATATATATTTTATGTATACAGCTGCAAATATGCATATTTAATTTGACACGTCGATATTTGGTTAACTGTGGCATACGCAGATGTAATAAAACGAATTTGATATGGGGTTTATGTAGGAGATATTGCATCTAGGTTCACCTGATTTGCGATTTGTTTTGCAATTGATATTATTATTTTCTTATAATGTTTCTTTGCAAGCTGTAATCTGTAATAGACTGGTATCTTGCTATCTATATGACTGCTAGGGAAACTTTGTACAACAGTCGTTTGCTTGAACAGCTCTATCCCATTCGTGTTTCAACCGTGAAGCAGTTATGTTTGCATGGCTGTCTTTCGGTTTGAAGAGTGGGATATGGCTGTGAATTTACAAAGTTTAGAGGAATAACACCTTAGTCCTCAGGAATGGTAACGCATGGGGGGAGGGGGGTTTCATGGGCGAAACAGTATACTCTGTTATGTCCATGATACTGATCATGTCTATAGGCAACGGTTACCACTTTCCATCAGGTGCACCGTCAGCTTGTTTGCCATTCTAAGTTGCACAAAAAAAAGAAAAAAAATCTTTACTGGAAATTTCCAGTGACCATTTTGAAACGTTATTTTTAGGTCCCTCACGGGGTAGACAAAGAGAATATTTCTACATGTTTTGCTTCATCCACTTCCATAACTCATGCACATCCTTTACACTGCTTCCGAAGACACTTGACTTCTCTTTCAGCTGTTGAGATGAGATGCTCTAACAACATTTTATAGGACAGTCTATCTTTTCTCAGTATTGCATCCTTATACGTCCACATTTTCATAAGAATTATAACCTCTATTTCTTTTTTTCTATATTTGAAATTTGAATATTTTAATTTTCATATTTAGAATTAATTCTATTTGTTTTTTTTTTTCTTTCAGTGCGTTTGCGCAATGACCCTGTTCTACTGCGCACACTGGCAGGCGTACGTAACGGGTACACTGAAGATGGGCCGTATTGACGTCACCGAGGCCCAATACTCTATCATCGCCATACATCTCGTCTCCGCCACGCTTGGCCCTGATTTCTGGTCCACTCAGGTAATGCTATCGTCAAAATTGTTTTGTCTTTTAATATTTTGTGTCTCTTTTACTAATTAATTTAAATACTTTCACGTTTATAGGCGACGGTTACCACTTTCCATTAGATGGGCCGTCATCTTGTTTGCCATTCTAAGTTGTATAAAAAAAAAAATTAAAATGTATTTACTGCTCTGTTATATAGTAATATAAAATTGAATTTATATAATAAGGCAAACGATACAAGCTGTAGATATATATTATGAATAATAATATAAGAATATAAAATGTAATATTTCTATATCTATGTATAATATATGTTACACGAGAAATAATTTAAAAACACCCACATGCATTGTACTCGTATTGTAACTTAACAATTTATATATACATATATTTTATATGTATTAACTTTTTATTTTTATAAATAATGTGTAAAGTTGTCAACATCAAGTAATTTATTGTTGTTTTTTTAAGACAGTGACGTACAACCTGCATTCTCGTCATTTGCATCGCCCCAGTATTGGAATGCATTTATTGATTCTAATAAGTTATTATACATTTTACAAATTTTACGCAACTAATTAATAATCCTGATGTTGTCTCATCCGAACTACATTTTATTTAAATGTCATCCCTTGTATTAATTAAATTAACATTTTTACTAAATATAAATCTACACTGATTTATGTCACCCTTGGCCCGTTCTCAAGTGTGTATCTAAAATGGCCGCATAGATCGCAGGCGCGCTAGAAGCTCGGTACTCGCTGGCTCTCGCGGCGGTGGCCGGCTCCTTCCTCACCGTAGGCACCCTCGCCACGGCGATCGTCGCTGGCGGCGTCGGGAAAAATGGCTCCACCGTCGCTGTGAGACCCCGCTCGTTTACCATACACTCCGCCGGCGGTCTGGGAGGCATACCATCTATATACACAAAATTTATATAAACTTGTACATAAAAAAATACTTTTTAAATATATAAATGCAATAATCTTTTTCACTTCTTATATTTAATTCCGAAATACTTTATTTTTGTAAAATACAAAAATTTAAACTTCATTTTTTTATTATTAATAAGCACAGTACCTTACCAATTATTTTCACATAAGTTCTATTCTTCTATAGTTTTCAGGTTATTTTAACAGTATAATTATTTTTTAATTTCATTACAAATTTTATTATTTAAATAATATCAAATAATGGATATAAATAACTTACATCTAGAAGTAAAATACATAATCATTAACAGGCCAGGGTAGGATACATTCAGTACTACCTAACTCCCATGCCGCCGGCCGAGTGTATTAGTTCGGAATTCTTGAATGCGCTCAGCTTTTAATTCTCTACTGTGAAGTCATCGTCTGTTGAATTAGTTATGATGATTAGTTTAATGTAGCAGTTATTGGTATCATTATCAATTGGCTCTTGCACACGATATCTATGTCTGTGAACAAAAAAATAATAAACCAAAATTTCAAAATTGTATCTACAGCATTGTCAAGATTTGGTTTTAATACACTTCGTTTGTAACGGCCAACGTAAATCTGAGACCGCTTCCACACGACTGTTGTCTCAGATAATATTATATCCATTGCTTATCATGTGGGTTTTTTTAATGGCATGTGTCCTCCACGTTAACTTCCGATTATGCTCACTGTTATTATTTATTTGGTATTATTATTTTTTTTTAACATGAGCATGGTCTATAGGTCCCTTGTACTTTAAAATTATGTAGGTCACATGATAGTTTTAAAGTTGATGTAAAAATGGCTGGTTCGTCGCCGATGTTAAATTTTTGAACTCAATGTGGGTCTTCACTCATTGATATTTCATTATCTAGATTTAGTATTCCATGTCTAAATAGTAAACCAACTTAGAATATTGTTGGCCAATTACGTCACACCTTTACAATTGACTAATTATGTGTTCAATTTATATTTTATTTACGTCCTTATTTGTGTACTAATAAAGTTAACATTAGCATGTGCCATGAAGATATGCATACCCTGAAGATGACCATTCATGTTAAACTATGAATACGGCCGCAAAAGCTGATGTTGGGTTTTGGAATGTTGTGAAGTTGGAATATTGTGATGGTGCCGCAGATCCCGGCGGTGGGTGCGCCGTGGAGCCTCCTGGTGGTCTCCATGTGTTTCGCTGCACAGTTGTTCTTTGTGGTCAACTTCTCATCAACATTCCGGGTTAGGGGCTGCGGCAAAAACGGATCCACCGTCGCCGTAAGATTGCCATCACATGTTTCACGCGTCATCTATTGCTACTTACCGACAGGTAGGGCGAGACAGTCATCAGCGGTAATCATCCTTGATTTGTAATTGTAACAATTAGAATCATTTTGAAGTCGTTTTATTTTCCTGATACAAATTTCGTGCCTCCCATACTGACACGACGCGTACAGTGGTCGTAAGCATGGGAGGTTCAAAATGTATTTGTCAACTCATGTTTTTTTTCTTCATCGTTTCTGATAGCGGATGTATGCGCTGGTTACCAATTGTTTGACCGTATCGCCTCTCGCCTGTACGAATGCTGACTAATAAATCACTGTTATTAACAACTGCACAATAGGTACACGATGGCCATTAAGTCATTACACTGTTTCTTATTCTAAGTGCTTCTCAAACGGGGTTGGTTCAAGTTCACCGCTTCATCGGAGATATTTCACAGGTCCAAATAAAAAAATAAAAAAACAATGAGTGAAGACAGCACACGCAGTTTACCTTAATGTCATTTCAGTTATTGATATTAATGGCATGTTTGTATTTCTTTTTTTTTTGGCCTCCGTACGCGCCGCGCCGCGCCGCGCCGCCGTCCCGCGCCGCTAACTTTCACGTCATCGCATGTCCTCGCCTAACACAACAGATACCGAGTATAGACACCGGTATCAACCTACTGTCCAATTACGGAGTGATCGCCCTGTCCGCGTACCTTATCGTCGGATACGTAAATGTCATAATGAAGGGCGGAGTGGGGAAAAACGGCTCCACGGTCGCTGTAAGAAATTTATTAGCATTGAGTCGTGTGTACACTAACACAAAGCAGCACAACGTGACAAGTACATACTAATGTGGTGATGTCACGCCGCGGTGTTGCCAGCACCGAACGCCCAGCGACGGGCCGCGTACCGCTCGCTCTTTACCGCCACCGCCACCGCCACCGCCATCATCATCAGTGTTGTTTGTGTTGTGATTGTGCTGTTTTCATATTTTGTTGTGTCTAGTCTCACTAACTACTCGCTTGTACGTACTTAGCGCATGCTTTTACTGTAGCTTTGTTTATTTATTTTTTTGTATTAGTATAAAAAAAAAATTGGAAATTGATTTTTGCTTGAACATGTGAACGCAATTAGAACTAGTTACATCCCGCGGCTCCGCTCGCAGGGTACGAGCATCCTGTCGCCTGTGATACCGTTCTCGCTGGTCGTGGTGCCGGCGTTCATCATCTTCCAGAAGAGCGAGTCGCAGGTGTACGAGAACCACCCCGCCCTATACATACTGGCGTTCGGGATGGTCGCCGCCAAGGTCACCAATAGACTAGTGGTGAGTACACAATGGTTTTGGTTTTTTTTTATTCTATATAGAAGGGCAAGCAAGCTGACGGTATCCATTTGATGGAAAGTCGTAACCTAAGTGTTATTCCTCTATACCAAGTAATTTCGCTGTCATATATGGTGGGTATATATGTGTGTGGAGCGGTATATAGGTGTGCGTGCGTGCGTATAAAGGTATGTTTGTGACTGCGTATATATGCTTGCGTGCGTGCGTGCGTGCATGCGTGCGTGCGTGCGTGTGCGTGTGTGTGTGTGTGTGTACGTGTGTGTGTGTGTGTGTATATGTATGTGTAGGTGCTCATTATGCAAAACAGTGTGTCTACCGCTATGCCATATTGTCAAATATATCAGATGATCGATAACTAATAAATTTGGTCCGCATTCCGCAGGTGGCTCACATGACCAAAAGCGAGATGGAGTACTACGACTGGTCGCTGCTGGGGCCCGCAATGCTGTTCCTCAACCAATACTTCAACAACGCGATACCCGAGTACTACGTGCTCTGGTTATGTACGGTACGTACGTGATGTACGTACTTCGTATAGTGTGAGATGACAAGCTGACTGAAGGTCCACTTGACGGGAGGCAGGAGGTACCCTCCGCCCGTATTGTCCTATTTTCCGAAAATAGCACAAGTAAGCTGAAGTGGCAATAAACTGATCTCATAGCTTGAAGAATCGACAACTTCTATATTTTGTCTTATAAATACTGCACCTTTTTAATGCACAAAAACTCATTTTATTCATTAAATAATTAAATATAGATGTGTCAAGGTACATTCTATGCGTAAATATACAGAACACTGATTCAGCTAATTTGACAATTAGCTGACAAAGAGTTGACCTGTTTTTGAGGCTCGATGCTCTATCTATGTAATCTAAGTGTAGATAGAAAAGAAATGGAGTCATTTTTTATTACATTTTTGAATAACTATTTTTTGTTTGATGGGTGAAAATGGTATGGTAACTCCGCCTGCGCTACCGGGATACGCTGGCGGAGCACCAGTGAAGGGTGATAGATGAGAATGAAAACAGGCCAGTTAGCCCATCATGATGAATTCATCAGGAATTGACCATGATAGTTTCCAGGGAGAACTGCGAGGAGGTCGACCTGGTATTGGCCAGCAATGAGATTCTCAGTCTCCATTACTAACAATCCCTTTCCGCCCACTATTTATTATTATTGTCACTCAATTTCAAATGCATTCACAAGTCAAATTACCTTACATGCATATCCGTTACAGACATTTGTATCGCGTTAAGGTTTAATTGTAACCGTGAATGCGTTCCCAGGTGTGGGTGTGCGTGGACCTGGTGAGGTACTGCGGGCAGATCTGCCTGGAGATCTGCGAGCACCTCAAGATCCAGCTGTTCCGCATCCCGGCGGCCGGCGCCGCGCCGCCCGACCGCAACGGTACGGCCGCGCGCCGCCAGCCGCCGCGGCACGCCAAGCGGCCGCAGCACTCGTAGGCGGCTGCCTGCAATCTATGCAACCATCTACATTTTAATAGAATGAAAATGGAATGGTAACCCCTTCTGTGCTAACCAGTCAGCGTATCGTAGACAAGTTGCCATTTCAATTTCATTTCCCAAAAAAAAACTACAATGAGTCGTATTGTATTATAATTATTATCGTGTTTACTTATGTATTAACTAATTATTCTGATTAATTTGGAACTTGATATCTAGATGTTTTATAACATCTATTTATATTTTGTACATACGCACATTATCAATACTACATACATTGTTTGAGTTGAAATGGTTGCATAGATTCATATTTCAGTTTAGTCAATATAAGGGCAGTGCTGACTCTTAAACAACTACGTCATTAATCTACTCTGTGCTCGTAGGCACTACCGCACCAGTTACTAGGTACCAGAGTATTCGTCTTGTATAGAAACTGAATCAAATGTATAGTGAGAGGCATAAAGGTAGGTTTAAACTAAACGCCTGCTCAAATGACGGCCAGTTCATTCAAAAATATTCTAAAATTGTACACTACAAGATGTCATTGCAGCATTTTAATGTTTTATTATCACTAGCTAAATTATACATCGAGGATTGACGTTGAACTTTAAAAAGTGTGTTTCCCTGCTCTCAATCCATAGACAAAGGAAGGTTCGTCACAGACTAATTAATTAATAATAAAATAAAGGTCATTGACACTGTAGAAAGCGGTTATCAGTAAATCGGTCGCAGGGCTGAGTGATCTAAGAGCTGTTTTTTTGTTATACGAATTTCAACCGAATAGTCAAGTGGGTAAAGTCAGTTTTCAAATGTTAATGAATTCAAATCTTCACCGCCACTCTATCGGTCTTTGTTGTGTCCATTACTAGCAAATCCAAAACTGTTCCCCCACAATTGTACTAACTTTAAACTGTTCTTTAACCCCTGCCATTCACTGTTTAGGTTCCAATTTCGTTCAAAAAAGGAAGCCCAATGTCTATTCTATCTCGCTTTCTCAGTCAACTCTCATTTCTCAACTAGTTTTTGCACTGTGTTCCCGACTTCCTTTAAAATAGTACTAAGCCATAATGTATGACGGCAAAATTTTCGAAAGTGGTAACGCGTGGTATCATGGGGGAATCCATAATGCTGTACATATAGTTACCACTTTCCATCGGGTGTCAATTGTTCGCTCCGAGTAATGTAAAAATGTTTAAATTTCCCTTTCCCATCCGAAGCTAATGTGTATTCGCTAAGCGATCCACTCTACGGACGAATGGATAGAAAAATAAATTAATATTTTATATTATTAGGCAAATTTTTGATACCTCGGATTACATTATTGTATTTTTTTAAATAATATATAGCCTGTTACTGGTTGATAATATAGCTTTCTATATTTGAATGAATATAATGAAAGAATTTTTAAAATCGCCCGAGTTATTTTTAATTTTTTTTTTATTACAAACAAACAGACATAGTAAAAAATCAAATTTTTCCTCCTTATAATATTAGTCACTTACTGTATAATTATCTCTTCTCGTACAAAGATATCGCTGTATATACATACATACATTGCTTATACATCCTCTCCGAGCTAGTAGTTAATGTAACCAGTCAAATTGTATTCACAGTTACAGTCCACTAATACCTCTGGCAACCCCATCAGGGATTACAGTCTTGAGCATATTCACTATTATATAGAAATAATACCTATGTAATATAATATCACTGTTCTAAATGTATGTATTTGGTATTTTTTTTTTTTTTTGTTAAATATGTTATTGCGAGATGAATGAATACAACAAGGTTTGCAGTAACGTATACATCAATTGACTAAATTAACAGACAAAAATAATCTTTAATAGATAGTATATAAGATTATTTTTAACTGTAGTAACAAAAAAATAATAATGTAAAAATAGTACGGGCGACATATAAACCTAGTAGGTGCAGTGCTAAATCGATAATTAGTAAATATCGATGATCCCAGGCTTACAAGCGGTATCGAACCCTTCAGTCTTAGGAGAGATGTTGCCTCACTCTGCGTGTTCTACCGCCTGTACAATGGATTGTGCTCAGAGGCATTGTTCAATATGATACCCACAGCCACTGTCTACCATCGTACAGTTTGCCATCGACAGGGAGTTTATCCTCATGTCCTACAGCCTCAATGGTCGCGTACTGCGCGGTTTTAGAGATGTTTCCTCCCACGAACACTCGGGTTGTGAAATGAGCTCCCTGCCGAGGTTTTCCCAAGAGACTACAGCATGGGGTTTTTCGAAAGGGGGGGGGGGGGTAAAGAGGTTTCTTAAGGGTCGGCAACGCGCGTGTATTACCTCCGGTATTGCAGGTGTTCATAGGCTACGATAACCACTTACCATCAGGTGGGCCGTATGCTTGTTTGCCACCTCATTGGTATAAAAAAAATCTTAATAAACAAACTGCTCTCTCGCTCTCTTTTCTTGCACTGCACACGCTCGTGTAAATGTTATCCCAGTGTTACGAGATGTTTCGAAAATATTGATGCGAACACTGCCATGATGATTCGATTTCTTTAACCTTGGAAAGGCTTTGTTATGCAATATTTTTTTTGGTATTTTGTACCGGCTATTCTTTATCGATATATATATATATATATATATATATATATATATATATATATATATTGATTTTATATCTAAATTTGGTCGTAGAATTTTCGTATAGTAACTATTTAACGTCACAATTTCGTAAATGAATATATTTCTGTTATAAAACAGTGTGTATATACATATGTAATATATTATATATTTGACTCTTTTATTTATATATAAATAAGCAATTAACTTAATTTTAAATTAAGTTGGCAGAACAAAAAGAAATCATTTAACAAGTTGATAACTAACCTCATGATGCATTAAAAAATAATTAAATCAAACAATTGAACTTAACAAATTTCGTGTAAAAGTAAAAGGTGAAAGCCTTTTTTTTTATTTATTATTGTGTATAAAATATATTGGCATTATCAAAGTATATGTCTAAAATATATTTCAAATTATTTATTATTAAATAAATTAATTAAATAAAGCTATAGTTAACAGAATATGTCAGTGTTTCAAAACACTACAAACAGTCAGTGGGTAAATTATACTTATTGTATAAAACTTATTAAATAATGTAAATCATATTGCAGTTGCCAAACTCTTAAAGTATTCTAATGTATGATTCAAACTTCATCAGTTTTCATTTAAATTGGCTTCAATACAAAAACCAAACAAATATAACAAAAACGGATATACTCTCTCTTTCTCTCTCTAAATTGTAAATAAACCACTTCCAAACAGGAATAAATATTAATGACCAAATCTGCCAACTCAATAGATATAATGTAGCGTATTAAAGCGTCCAAATGTAAATAAGTTATTTATTATATATGCGAGAGAGATATGTCGACAGCACATGGAATGAGTCAGCTACAAAAGTCTATTAACGCCATCTGTATTTTTAAAACACTTGTACATCGTTGCGTTAGTGAATTGTGGCAATATATCTACCTAATTTTGACTTTTTAACATGTCCTCCCAATTGTAGAGTTTATCTTCTAAACCTTTTCCCTTTACAATACAATATTAGGAATGTAAAAAAAACGTGCCTACAAACAAAAGTCGTTTGCTTGGGTACCTCTGTCCCATTCGTGTTTCTACCGTGAAGCAGTTGTGTTTGCATGACTGTGTTTCGGTTTGACGGGTGGGATATGGCGTGAATTTACTGGGTATAGAGGAATAACACCCGAGTCCTCAGGAATGGCAACGCATGGGGGGTATCATGGGCGAAACAGTATACTCTGTTATGTCCATGGTACTGTTCATGTCTATAGGCGACGGTTACCACTTTCCATCAGGTGGGCCATCAGCTTGTTTGCCATTCTAAGTCGCATAAAAAAGGCCAGCAACGCACAAGCAACTTCTCTTATGTTGCAGCTGTTCATAGGCGACGGTAGCCGTTGACCATCAGTTGTACCAACTGCTCGTTTGCTTCCCTAACAATAAAAAAAACCATTTATTCTTGTAACGATATTACGGAGTTTTAAAAATCTGGATCTGTTAATTAACTTCTTATGCTAACCTTTTATATAAACAATATACTCTCTTATGTCTTTGGCACTGCTCATGTCTATGGGCGACGGTTACCACTTTCCATCAGGTGGGCCGTTAGCTTGTTTGCCATTCTAAGTTGTATAAAAAAAAAATGTGATTGGAATGGTAATCTTTAGTAGCCAGGTTACAGTGTTGCTATTTATAAATAATTTAATACCACATAATCACATTAATCTAATATAAACGCATACCGTATATTGTTTTAGATCGTGTACAGATTACGAGATATTATGAGATATAAACAAGGGGCGTCAGTAAGTGACGTACAGACAGCTAGTTATGAGTGTTCTTCTTCCCGACGAGATGCTAAGCTCGGTTGATGCTGTACAGAGCTCTTTAATGTAGTGTACAGATTCCTGTGAGGTTATTGATGTATGAAGGAAGGGGGAGGATGACTCATTTCAAACAGGCAACACTGGCGTTTCTAGTTACTTCCCAGCAAATCGAGCCTACTTTTTTTTATTTATAATTACACTACAGAAAAAATATTATCATTTGGCCAATTTAGCAATATTATGCCTCACGTAGTCGCCATCTGTCGTGTTGTAAATTTAACCACAAACTTGTGATCTTTCAATTCAGTAGGTCTACACAATTTTGTTTTTTTTTTGATGGGTGAAAATAGTATGGCAACCCCGCCTGCGCTAACGGAATACGCTGGCGGAGCACCAGTGAAGGGTGATAGATGAGAATGAAAACAGGCCAGTTAGCCCATCATGATGAATTCATCAGGAATTAACCATGATAGTTTCCAGGGGGAACCGCGAGGAGGTCGACCTGGTTGGGTATATTGCTAGCAATGGGATTCTTAGTCTCCATTACTAACAATCCCTTTCCCCTCCACAATTTTGGTTATAGACTGTGTTAATATTAATTTGAAGAAAAATCTCATTATAGGACAGTTTTATATATTGTAACTAATATATTTTAGACAGGCAGTCTCCCCTTGCCCGGTACATTATCCACACCCTCGTTGATGTCTTACCGCTTACGCCGCCCCCCCCCCCCCCCCCCCTATTTGCCAGCAACTGTCATGTTTGAAGTAGACAAGTTATAAACGCTAACACGTAATTGTACATATTAAACTGAATGTTTTCAGTTGCAATTAAAAATATATGTAAATTAATATATTCGTTTTCTAGATAGTATAGACTTGTCACACGAAAACTTTTCTTTCTCATCGGTTATTGGTTCTCCGAGATATATTGCTAAGCTATTGCTAGTTCAGTTCACTTATTCTACAGGCTATATCGGTCGCTTTGTTTCTTCTACGAATGTACTTATTACATTTTATTACTCAGTAAAACTGTACAGTGTTCTCCAGAGCTCGCTGAGCTACTTGGATCTTTTGCTTACGACCAGTGTATAAACCAAATATCTGTCCCATAACTCATCGCTTACATTGCGAACAAAAGAGATAAAGCCCAGTACCGTATATGTTAGAGTGAGATAGATAGCCGCGACAATCACCCTACACGTGAACGGCCCGTAATGGATTGTAATCAGTTATTAGATTTTGATGTATAATTGGTTGTTTAAGTAATACTTAATTATGATTCAACGTGCAGTATATATATATATATATATATATATATATATATATATATATATATATATATATATATATATATATATATATATATATATATATATATATATATATATATATATATTACAAATTATGGTAATTTGTTTCGTCATGTAAATCATTCGGTTATGACTTTGCTTGATGTTGGTTATAGCTCATGTAAAGTACTAATACTTATGCCATCTTATTCAATTGTTAATATGTAGATAGGTTATTAAATTTATATAATATAATATAATACAATACTTAATAGTGAAATCAGCTATGTGTGATTATTTTAACATTTCCACACTGAAATGAAATTTCTGTGAAATGTAAAAAAAGGCTAGATTACGTTACGTAGATGGCGGTAGTGTGCTAGACCGTTATTTTAATAGTTAAATTTTGATGTTTACACAGCTCTAGTGCATGTGTTAAAATGCTAAATAGAAAAAAATAAACGTAACGTTTGTAATTTATTAAACTCTAGCGATAAGTTTTGCATCTCTATAAGAACTGGTTTGAGCTTCAAGAGAAATGTTTTGCTGTTTGTGTAAATATTATGTTTTTAATTGTATTTTGTAGGTGCATTGCTTCAAAAATATATAAGAAGTAAATTCGGTTTTTTGGTCACACTATTTTAGGGTCGAAATTTTTGAAATTTACTCGAATGTCAACATTCTGATTTATTTTAAAATAAGAAATAGACTTAATTTATGTGATTATGCACACAGAATTAAATTATTATTAATTTATACATTTTTTAAAAAAAAAAAAGTATCAAAGGACGACTGGGGTCATTGCGTCCTCTTTGTTCAGTCCTTATTGTTATTCACTTGAAGCTCGAAACGGTGTAAACTATCTTCAACTTGGTGTTGGCTGCAACTAACTTTCTCTCTATCTATACATACTATCATTGCACCGTTCGTATTCTTGTCATCGGGAGAATAGAGCGACCATAGGTAGCTTGCCATTAATAACGTAAAGTACTTATTGGCTAATGGTGATTGTACATAAGACGAGATGAGAGCGGACATAATTTAAAACCTGTCAAAAACACGTGCGGTGCTCTTACAGGATAGAAATTAACGGGAAATGGACAGTCACCCTTAGACAAGGTAATAACAGATTTATCGACAGATACACTATCGCTGCCACTTGCGTGAGACAGAACGAGACAACAATATCTGGTGTGTTATTCCTTCCCACGCGTGCTTTAATGAAAACTTGTCTAAGGGTGTACTTTTTTCGTCGCTTCGTTTTGTATATTTATCCAACATCTTGCCTTTTCTCCCGCGCCCTTGCAAGGAGTGCCGCTCATATGGTTGACGGAATATAGTATTTGGATGGAAACAGAGGCGTCATACTTTAAAAATTATTTCTTAAATTGAAATTTTGATTTGATAGTTTAGCGAAAATATAAGGTTACTGACTACGAAGCCAAGTGTTTCACAATCGCTGAAATTATCAATTAAATTTATATTGATTCATAAATTAATAATTTCGCTATGCTATTTAACTAAAATTCTAGTTAATAATACGTGAAAATCAATACTTTTTTACTCTAATCTCGAGAAAAAAGTTATACCTCTGTCCCTCCGTCTCTCTCATCACCGCATACACTAAGCCCGTGGTACAATAATAGTGGTGCCCTCAGGTTGTTACGTCGTGTATTCGCGAAAGATATGGAGATTTTTTATTTAGAACATGTATGGTAGAAGATGCCAATGCATTATATCACTTAGGGCCATAGTGCTAAGATTGTAAATAATAATACGTGTAAAACAAGGGATGTCACACACGAGCAAACCGTCTGTGGTGTATGCGTGACGTGTATTTTTTATGGATGTGAAAAATATAAGCAGTTGTACATTTTCTATACTTGTTTCATTCATTCGTGTTGTGTCATTGCTCTTTTTTTGTTATAACCTCAATAATACCAAAATAAATAGGTACCACTGGTACATTTTGTGTTAATTAATAAAGGCAAATACAAAATTTGAAGTTGCCATTTTATTATTGTGAGTTTCTATGTAGTAATAAAAAGTTGCCAGTAGAGAAAATAAATATTGAAGTAATATTTATTTATTAAATTTATGTACAATGGTAACTTTATAACAACCTATTCATGTACCAAAATTAGGCATTTAATTTTTTTTGCGAAATGATAAAAATATGAGATTACGTTATTTTATAATGTGTTGATAAACAATCAACCTGCAAATTGTTTTAGTGTGTAAAAAAAAATATTTTTTATTATTTTTATTATATATTGCAATAGTGTATAATATATATTATTTTATTTTTTTTTATATATTTTAACATATTTGTTTAATGCCTACTATTTTAGTAATATTTTTCAGATTAAATATGGCAATAATATATTGATACATTTAAATTTAAAAAAAAAATAAGAAAGATACTTCTAAAATTATTTATACATATATAGTGTATGGTTCTGTAATGTTGCAGAAACATTGTCTGATTAATATATACGCTACAAGGTAGAAGGAGGCTAAGGTTAGTGCTGTGTTTGTATGCTTCTATTATATACGGTGTTGTCACGTGTGTGTAACTGGGTAGTGGTTGGTACTATTGGCAATAGAACCATAGTGCATAGTTTTTTTTTTTTTGTTTTTTTTTTATGCACGCTTTTGTCGTTTTAAAATGAAACTTAATATTCCAATGTCAATGTATTATAGTTATGGTTTTTTGACCGATTAATTGATTTTAAACTCGTCACTGACTGTTTCTATATAATTTAATGAAAATGTAACATAGTTTTTTTTTTATTATCTTAAAAACACAGTCTATCAAATTGCTAATACATTGAAATATTTAATTCAATTAATGTTTTATTTGTACTAGTACTGGATATAAGAAGACTTACATGAAGGGTCGTTTGCTTACATATACCTTCTTAAAAGGCCAGCGACACACCTGCAATTTCTCTCATGTTGCGGGTACCTATGGGCAGCGGTAATCGCTTACCATTAGGTGTACCAAAAATGAAACAATTACATTAATTTATATTAAAAAGGACTATAGTCAAATTCGTTTTAAAATCCACTGATCTGTCAGCAGACATTGCTGATGCAAGGTATAAATCATTTGTTGAAGATAAAATTCATGATTTTTCAATAATCTAGATCAATAAAGAATCATTGCTTACATTAACAGAGAACTAATTTAATAGTAAAATTCTCAATTTTGAACACAACCATTATTTTTGTCAGCAACTTGTGTTTTTAATTTTTATGAAATAGTTAACAGTTTTCTTACTTATTTTAGTGACAATTTTGGAAATTTTACGCAATCGTCGCTTGCTTTTTATTGTAACTGTGACGTGTCATTGGTTTTGTGGTTTGCTTCTTATTTTTTTTAATCACAATAATGTGCTTTTAATATATTTTTTTTTACAATGCGCATAAATTTTATGCCAACGTATGTTTACAAAAATATTAAGTTAAAAATTCCATCTCACGTGTGCAATATAATGCATTGCGTTTATATATTTATATTCTGTATTCTATGAGGTTTTTTTTTATTTAAAATCTATACTTTGTAACAATTTAACTAAAGCGACATCAGTCCAGTTTCATAATATACATTGAAATATATTTTATTATTATATATATTTTATTTGAAACGAAAATACATATAGAATAAACTAATTAATACATAGAACAATTGTAAAAAAATCGATGCATTATCATTTAAAAGTAACAAAGTCCACATGGAACAGACAAAACAACCAAAGTAAAAAGAAATACATGTATAATATAAAAAAATACATCCATCATCTTCCTACCCATATCCCAATTATTATATGGGGTCGGCGTAATGTTTTTATCCATATTACAAAAAGATTTGGCTTTTAGTTTTACGACCGGCCGCCTGCCTGACGTCAATAAAAAAATACATATTGTCTAAAAATGTTAAATTGATTTTTTAACTAGGGATGGGTAATATATGGCAATACCTATATACCATATTTTAGTTACAATATTTACATATATACTAGTCCAATAACGAATATGATAAAATTATGTTATCCAATATTTAATGTCAAAAATAGATATCCGTCTTATACGGGTGATAACCTTTCTACCATCAATGTCTAAAGATAAATATCGGATCGATATCTATATAACCCATGCCTAGTTCTTACTTCCATTAAAAAAAAAATGCATAAGCTACGCCCCCAATTTCTACAACGATTGGCAAACATTAAATTGAAATTGGTATTTCCCAGTTTTAGCAAAAATTGAATCAGTAATTAAATCAATCAGTTAGCAATAAGACCACCTTTTGTACTACACTACACTTATTGAAAGTTGTTCAACAAATCCTGTTATGTTGGTGCAATAAAGTGTTAAATAAATAAATAAATACATTACTTGTAAATCGGAACAATATGCATGACAATTTTTCTTTTTTTATTGCTTGCTCTTATTTTCAACACTATCGCTTTGTTTCGTTGCATGACTAAACTGGTTTTCTGATCTACACTAGTACGCTCTTATTTTTATTGTATATATTTTTTAAAATGTTTTTTTTTCCCCACAGTGACGAGTGATAGCGAAAAATCTGAAACCGAAGATTCAGCACCGTTGCTTAACAATAATACCTCTGTTAGTTAATCATATGTGGAATGTGTTACTAGACAATTTATATAATATTAGAACAACCAGCAATACATTTGTGTTAAAGTCCTCGAATGCAGCAGGTATTAAATTATCATGAGCATTCTCAAAATGTAACAGTATTTTTATTGATAATATTTATTGTAATTATAACTACATCCAAACAAACAGTTAAAAGCAGTACCAAAAGATTAAACTTTTTTATTAGTTTTGTATCATAATAAATGTACTCTGTGCACTATAGCATTATTGTTTCTGGTAGGCATAGATAATATAAATACCGATCCGATATCTACGAGTGTATATTGTATTCCTCTAGATATTTCGATATGATACATATCGTTCGGATGTCTATTTTCGAATATGTTGAAATTCTGTTATCCAATATTATTTTTTGGATAACAGTTTTAACATATTCATTATTGAACCAATACATAGATATTGTAACCTTAATATATAGATATTACTATATATTATCCATCCCTAGTTTCTGGAGGCGAAATTAATCTTGTAACAATATTTTAACAACCTTTACCGATACTGTCTTACAATCAAAATGTTTTGGCGACTCTGTCTATAATTTTAATAATCTGTCGTTTTTACCTATTGTTTTTATTACCTGTCGCTGGAATCGATTTTTACGAAGTTATTTATTTAAACCTATTCCTTAACCTGTTTTAATATTATAGTTTCGCAAATTTTACTATTTTATGGACCATGTCAAGAAAATTTGGTCCTTTATTTTATAAAGATTTCGTCGTAATATCAAATAGAAATTTTAATTTTACGGGTAGGTTTAGAGAAATGATGCCTCAGAGTCGACCCCACTGTCTTTTCTATAATGCACGGAGTGTAACGTAGTCCATTCATTATGTTGATGGGAATGTTTGAGTCCAAACTGGTGTATAAGTAGATAGTTTTATATGTATATATTTAATATAAATAATATCACTGGTGCTTGTAAAAAATTTCATATTATTTCAATGTATATAAAACAGAAAGACACTACTATTTATCTCTCTTTTTTTATACGGAGTATAATTATGTTTCTCTTTCGTGAATCGTGATTTTGTTACATACCTAAATTCATTTTTTATTTTCATTAGTATTTAATACTATTCAATTGAACTTCTAACTACCAAATGTTTGTATTTCGCTGACAAATGCATAGGTTAACTAGTATATTAATTATAAGTTAACTAACCTATGACACGAACCTTCGACGTTATATACTGTAGATAGAAAACTCTTGAAATCTGAGATGCAATGAGAACAATGTGCTATCTGCAGTTGGCATTTGTCATTTTTCAAATAAACTTATAAAGAAATAAGAAAAGATAAATCGTTGATAATTGTAGTCCAAATATTGAGATTCAAATGGCTTATTGACTCTGTTAGATTATTATAGGCTACAGCAAAGAAAGTAATATATTGAATGAATGATTTATCTGTTAAAAATGTCACAGTACAATAAATTAGTTGGCGCAGAGTAGCGTTAGAAGTGCATTATCGTTATTACTGGAATAAATGTTTGACTTCTACAATGATATTAAATAATTATTTTTTTTATTACAATACATATTGAATAAAATAACAATATGTGCCGTTAGTTTCAAATTTACACTTTTAAAAATCACCACCCGCCAATTTGTCACTTTACCTATTTATAGTTTGACAAATAATCATTCATTCAATCAGTCTGTCAATGCGATCAAAATAAGAATACGGCGGTGCCTTCGATCTGTCAATTGTCATATGGAAAATATTAACATTCATTTATAAATATATTTTTGGTGTATAACGTTAGAAATATCTTTTAAGTTAATCTTATAATTAATTATTAATCTCAAAATTATTTAATTATAATCACCGTAACGTCTATGACGTCACAATATGGCGGAAAAAGGCGGGAAGTCAATCGTATTTTTTAGATCGCACTAATTTGCTGTTGCATTACAATTAACGGTTTCTTTATTCGAATACCTAATACGCGCATATTTATTTTGCTTTAGCTTTATATATATTTGGAGTAGTTTTCTTGATATACAAAAAATGCTGACTTATGTTCAGCGATAGGTAGGTTCACCTACGTATGCAGTGGCGCGGCTTACTTAGCGTAGTTGGTTTGTTGTGAGCATTTTAAATGTGATTAAATGATTGTTAATACTCCTAAAAATGTTGTTTTATTTTAAATATTAATTTCATTATAAAATATAAAAGTCTATCTAAGT